TTGCCATGCAGATGGCTGCCCTTTTGCTGTGTCCTCATAAAGTAGGAAGAGAAACTCTCTCTCTCTTCTTCTTCTTCTTATAAAAACACTAATCCCATCTGGGGGGGCCCACTGTTATGGCCTTATCTAAACGTAATAACCTCCCATAGGCTCCACCTCTGAATATCATTTTAGGGGTTCAGACTTCAACATATGAATTTGTGGGTGAGGCACATTCAGTCTACTGCAGTGGAAAGCCAAATAATGTATGATGCCATTATATATAACTGTAGAAAAGGTAAACTATTGAGGCAGAAAACAGATCAATGATTTTAGGGACAGGGCTGGAAAGGAAGAGTGGGGCAGGAGGGCCTACGAAGTGCATGAGAAACTTTGAGAAGTGCGTATGTTCAATATCATGATTGTGGTGATGGTTTCACAGGTGTATATATGTGTCAAATTTAACCAATTGTACACTTTAAATATGAGCAGTTCATTATATGTCAATTATCTCAATAAAACTTTAAAAAATATTCTATTGTAGATCCTTCCAGTCATTCTCTGTATTTGATATTACTGTGATTGTAGAATTCTTTTGTACATAGTTCACCTAAATTTATATTGTATTTTTCCATATCCTTACATACATCTTTTACTATTACAGTTCTTTTTGGAGTTTATTATATATCTGGGGAAAAAGCATATATCTTGAATTGCTGAAAATTGAATCTATCTGTGCAAATATGACCCAGACCAAGAAACAGAACACCAGAACATCAATGCCCACCTCACATTCCTTTCTAATAAATATTCTATTTCCTTTCCTAAGATAACCACTATTCTGACTTGCAACAGCAGAAATTCATCTTGCCAGTTTTGAGCTTCATAATAGAATTGTAATAGTATATTTTGTATTTGGCTTTATCTAGTATTATATTTGTGAGATCCATCCATGTTGCTTCCTGTAGCAGCGGCTCATGCGTATTCATTGTATATTCATAGCATTTCATTGTATGACTGTAACATAAATATCTTGTCTTCATAATTTTTCATGAAAAGTTTGGTTACTTCAAGGTTGGAGCTTGCACAGTTAACCCTAAGAATATTCTTGTATCTTTTAGTGCATGTGTAGGTGTATTTCTTTTGTCAATGCACCTCAGAGGAGAATTGCTGGGTCATGAATATTTGTATCACTATAAAAAATTCTTTTGTCTTCCTTTGCTCTTGCCCCAGACTTTAGTTCTTTTAGAAATTTACAAATACTAGATTAGTCTGTTCTGGGATTTCGTATAAATGAAAACATACATAATATACTCTTGTGTATGGCTCCTTTTTGCTCAGACATAATTTTTTTAACTGCTCTGGAGTATTTCATTATTTAAATAGATGGCAATTTGTTTATCCATTTATCTGCTGACGCTGATGAGCTGTCTCCTGTTTTGTTACCATGAATAAAGCTGCTATAAACATTTGCACTATAATCAAAGAGCACACAGTCTTGGAATTTACTGAGGTTTCCTTTATAGTCTGATACATTGACTGTCTTTGTAAATACTCCTTATGTGCTAGGAAATAAAGCATATTGTGTCAAGTGAAATTCTATATAAATTTAATAGTTCCAGGTTATTTAGGTCTTTATCCACTTTTCTATGCTTGATCCATTAGTTTCTCAGAGGGTTTTGTTAAAATCTCTAGTGTCAATTTCTGATTTATCTCCCTGTACTATTACTTATCGTTGCTTATTTTTAGGTTATATTGTTGACATGTGTTTATGATGGACATATCTTGTTATATTGTTCCTTTTACTAGGATGCATCATTCATTTTCCCTTCTCTTTTGGCCTTGAATTTTGTTTGGTCATGTATTAAAATTGATACCCTGGCTTGCTTTGGTTCATATATACTGCTAGACTGTTTCTCATATTTTTGCTTTTCTATATAAAAGTGTTTCAGGGATAACATGTTGTTGGGCCTTGTATTTATGTATTTATAATTCAATGCAAGTATTATATAAAACAATTGGTTATAATTAAAATGAAACAGAATTCTAAGAGCTTATTTGTTGTTAGGCTTAACTTACTTTACGTTCATTTGAATTACTGCTATATTAGTCCTTTAAACGTAGTACCATTTTTTGTTCTGCACTTTCATTTGCCCTGTCCACATTACTAAATTTCATTGGGCTACAGTGACTTTTCTTCTGACAGATTAAAAGTTACAAATTCTTCATATATTTGTACTATTTGTTTTTAACCTAAGCCCCATAATCTTGTTTACTGATGTCTTAAAACTTTGCAACTTTTAAAAGTAAATAAACCATCAGTAAGCTCTCATATTCTTTTGGTTTCTCCCTTACCTCCTCCTTCCCTGCTTTAAACTGGATATATTTTCTTTTTTTTAGTTTCTCTTTCTTAAACTTAATCCAGTAGGCATGGGGTTTGGAAGAGAGGATGGGAGGAATGAATACCTCTGGATGTGATGTTTAATAGATTATTAGGTTCATGGTTCTGGAGTTTAGAGAAACTGTAGGCTGGACATTTGGAATCTTAGAAAGGTGAAAGAAACCACTGCTCAAAGGCAGTGCATGCGTAGGGAAATACACGTACACACTACAAAACGTCCCCAATTTACAATGGTTTCACTTATGATTTATTTTGCATTTATGATGGTATAAGAGATATTCACTAGAAACAGTACTTCGTATTTTGAATTTTGGTCTTGCCCTGGGCTAATGATATGCAGTATGGTCCTCTCTCGTTAATGGTGGGCAGGATCAGCCAGCCATGCGATCATGAGGGCAAGCCATCAATACACTGACTACTGTTCTATCCCCAGAAAACCGCTGTTTTTTACTTTCAGTACAGTGCTCAATAATAGCATAAGATATTCAACACTTTATTATAAAATAGGCTTTGTGTCTGATGATTTTGCCCAACTGTAGGCTAATGGAACTGTTTTGAGAACATTTAACATAGGCTAAGCTATGATGTTCACAAAGTTGTATTAAATATATTTTCAACTTACAGTTAATTTCAACTTCAATGGGTTTATTCGTAGGTAATCCTACCATAAATCAAGTAAGATCTGTATATTCACTGCTCAGGAATTAGTGTCACTATTAGGCAGAAGTACAATTCTGCTGACAGTCTGATTACCCTGATTTCACTCCCAAAAGGCAGTTACCTGGCCTGCCAGTGCCCATCAAAAGCAGGATTCTTTTGGAAGAATTCTCACAAGTGACCTTCTTGCAGTTACATAGATTTTTTTGTGGTCTCTATTCCTTGCTTAGGTGGGCAGAATGGTGGAGAAACTCCATATCCCTCAAATAACTCCCACTGTATTCCATACAGCCTGCAACTTTACAGAGAAAGAGGTTCACTTGATTTAACTGTTAAGATGACTAACAGACCTATCATTTGTAGTTTAACATGGATTAATCAGATGATTTTCCTAATATCAGAAACTAAAGCCATGCCGTAAGGAAGGAGTAAGGACAATGGAATTTAACATGAAAGTCTTTAAGAAAGGGCAAACTAGAATGGTTTGGTGAGAAGTATTTTGCTTATGGTTCAAACTGAAGGTATCAGATTCTTACAGAATAAAAATATGACTTGATGGGAAATATGCTACCCATTGGCATAGTCACAGAAATGTTACTTTGAAGAAGTGGGTTCCAAAGAAAATGAATTTGCCTGAGATCAAGTCTTCACAGACTTTTAGGAAAGATTTTATCTTATGCTACCTCCCTAAAAGCAGTGAACAGGAAAAGAACAAGGTATTGCAGTTTTGAGGTGTCTTCTCATTTCTGCTTTTTAATAATTTAATAAATTTAATTCATAAATTTCAATATTTAATAAATATATTTTGTTAGGCTATCTATACAACTGTTGGCTTAGTGGCTAAGGAACAAGCACTAAATATCTAATAATCTGTTTGCTATACGACCATCGTTAACATTATCTCTGCTAACACATAAAGCAAATCATATGCATCAAATGCAAGCCTTGTGATTACATTAAAGATTAACGTTTATCATTTACTATACCGAGAACTACCCTAAGCAATTTAAATATATCAATATATTTAATATAAATATATAGATTTTCCACTTCCTGAATTTATTTCAACAAATCAACTTAGAAATGTCATAAAACTTCTGACATGTAAACATATTACCATATTTGGAAACAAATGTTAACACCAATAGAAGTCTGTAATCACTTGTTAGGAAAGCTGTTCATTAATAAGGCCAGTCTTTAGCAAACCTAAAACCATTTTGTTTTAGTTTTCTCAATCTGACAATAAAATATTATCAAATCACAATCAAATAGAGACAACACTGGATGGACAGGTCAGTACTACCAGTTGGTTATAGCTGTAAACAGTTTCATGTTAATGCTACACACACACACACACACACACACACACACAAATCAAGCCAATTACATTAAATAAACCATGGCTTTTCTTTATCAGAATTCACTAAGTGATGTTAATTAAAGTCCTTATCAAACATGTTTGGTAAAGGCTATTTACAATGTACATGGCTGAACATGCACTATTTATAGTTACAATAATTCCTGCCAGTTTATACAACAGGATATATACAATATTAAACCTCTACAAATATACACCAAAGACATAAAGGTTAAACAATTCCTTTAAGGTACACTAGTAAAGGTGGTACCAAGATTTGAATCCAGGCAGATCCATAAATTAGACTCCTAATTATTTGACCACAGACTTCTACTTATGTGTATAAAATTCCAAATTTGAATTTGTCTCGTTTTCTTTAGTTTCTTTCACTATGGGTTAAATATGTATCACTGTTCTTGAAAATATTTAGGACATGTCTTTCTAATAAAAACAACCCACCAGCTCTTGTGTCTTTGCAGGGCAGAAATCTCTTGATACACTACTGTATTTTTCATTTGAACACTCAAAGGCAATTCAGGTGAAGGTTTTAAAAAGTATTCATTTTATGCTGAATATTCAGAAATATGGTACACACAGACACCACAGTAATATAAAATGCATATAATATTAAACTATTTTCTTATAAACCCTTAACACGGATGGCTAACAGCTTCCAAGAGACAAAATTTTGGACAAAGGTACCAGATATTTGGGGGGTTCATTTTAAATACCATTTAGTCATGCAAACATTTAGGAAGTCTTTAAAAAAATAAATACGACAAATATATGGATTTCTGAAATAGAAATTGACATATAAATCTATATATTTTGATAATAGTTTTCATTAAAGCATCTTCAAAGAAGTATTCTGCAACATGAAGTTGAGAGCTCAAATTAGATGTAATGAAAAGGCATAAGGTTTTATTAGAATTGTGTAAATCACATACTAAATATTTACATAAAAGTAAAAACAAAATTGCAAACATATTCGTTTTATCCTCCAAGTCATTAGCTTCATGAAATTACTTCCTGGGATAGTTACAAGATAAAATTCCCAATTCTGAATGTTAATAAGAAAATACCATGAGGGCAATAGGAGAAAAACTTAATTCTTTCTTCTGACAAGCAGTGAAAAAAAGTAACATAATTGTCCCTTAGGGATTGTCAAAGCTTTCCTGGGGGAATATATTCTTTTGTAAAACAGTGAGAACTAAAAATACATCCCTTTACCAGCACACAAACCTATGTATGATAAGCTTTCTTTGCCAAACATATAGATGCTTATATCTGTGAACCACAGGTTAGTGAACTGGACTAAAATGTCTCTAATCATCCATTTCCCCATAAAGGCAGTTCCAAAAAAGGGTTAAAAAATCTATTACCTTTTTTCACTTGAACAGCTTGAATAAGAGTTCTACTATGAGTTTAAAGAGAATAATCATCTTACACATAAGCAAGCTTGATGGTACGTAAAATGAAATAAATACTAGTCATCAGAAGAGCGTAATTATTAAAACATCAAAACCTAACTGGGTTATGTTACTAATTTAAAAAGTTAACACCGAAGAGATAGGAGAATTTTCTTGAACTAATATAGAATTTCCTGAACTACTTTTGAGCAATGGTCATTAACCCTCACTACAAATTAGAATCTGAGAACTTTAAGCAAAATGGAATGGCACCCTCCCTAAAAAATTCAAATTAAATTGTTGTGGAGTGGGGTCCACAAGAGTCCTCCCGGTGATTCTAATATGAAGTGAGAGTTGAAACATTAATTTGGAAAAGTTATTATTCACTCAGTGTGGATTTGATTTAAATAATTTAAAATGCAAACATATGAGCACCTCCTACATGATAGGCATTGTTCTAAGTGCAATAAGGAGGAAAATTCTTTCTTCTATAAAAATCATTGGATACCAATATATTTTTTTATCTTTTGAATAGTTATACAATTTTATTAAAATACTACTCAAAGCTCATATTATGATCTGCTGTCACAAAAGACTTCTCTTCTACTTTTCTGAATTATCCTCACTTGATACTACAATGGAAGAGATCAAACTCAGAAACTTTTTCTCAAGATATGTGGAGAGAACATAAGATTAACATAGATTTCGTTTTTCAAGTCATAGTATATGAGGTATTCTCCATCTTATATCTGGAGTCACAAAGCCTTAATTTAAAAACTGAAACTGGGTATTGCTTTAAATCCTGAACAGAATCTCCTAAATCAAAAATAAACCATGATTGGTGTCAATGCTTGATTTAAATTGCCTAAAAAATAACCTATGACACAACCTCAGGAAAGCTAGTAAGAGTGGGTCTTTAATGCAGACTATATATCTTGTGACCTATTTAGAAAATATTTTATAAAAACTTACAGCAATATTATTTTTATAACATAATTAGAAATTAGTTATCTCAAAGGAACAGAAGTGCAGTTTTTGAAATTCTACATAATTAGAAATCAGTTACTATCCCAGGATGATAGCTTGAGCTTTAATATTTTAAATTAAAACCAACTTTATTAGGTATTGTAAAACTCATCTGAAATGTATTTTAAGTCAAAAACCAGATATAAATTAATAAATTTGATTTTATCTACTGCTCAACCTAATGGTTTTCAGGTTTAAAATTGTTAAAATCAACTATTAATCCTATATGAGGTTAATTACCTTTTGTAGCTGGAAAATAGGCCCAAAATGATAAAATTTTGGTTAAACTAATATATGCATATATAGGAAAATGCAATAGCAATTTGTTTTCCATAGTTGATGGAATTAAAACAGCTATGAATTTTTTATGAAAGCTCAGTAGTCAAAATAAATATTTAATAAAAATATACACCATCGGAAGATATCAAGAACTTAGTGTTTAAAAATAAAACTTCGTCACATTGTTTTGTCTTCACTGAAATAAAGAACTGAATTTAGTTGCTTAAAGTATCTAAGAAGGATTAAAGTATGTTTTTGGAACAATTAAAATTCAAATAACACTAGAGAGTAAACACTAAGATGAAAGAGGATCTTACTATGTTTTAACTCAAAAGTTTAAATAATAATTATTGGGACTTTCCCCCAATAATTATAATATTTTTATAAGTAAAAAAATCAAAGACAGTTATGATTTACGTGGGGTTCATGCTGTGAAACTCTCAGTATGTAAAAAAATAAAAATACGTTATATATGAGCACCATTAGAAATGTGTATGTGTATATATATGCACACATATATATGTCTATATCTGTGTGTGTGTGTGTATTTAAAACTTTACCTGATTAAAAATTGCATTTCAGACCAAAATTAGTTAAAGACAAGCATACAACTATGAAAATACATTCTTAAAACATGTCATATGACTTATTTTAAAAAGTTTCATCTGGTAGTCCTAAAAATCAACCAAAGAACATAACATAAAGGAAGCTAGTATTCTTTTGTGGTGCAAAGTTCCTTTGTTAAATAGAAGTTACCAAAGAAAAAAGAATATGTTCAATTAAGTGTTTTCAACTCATTATTCATTTCACTATTCAGATTCCAATAGCTAAGAGAAAGTAATGAAATCAACTAATAAATGCAAATTCATAGAATAAACCACCATATGTTGAATTTGCCCCCAAGAGTTTATCATTCAGGCTTCAGATTATTTTTAATTGAGAGTAGTCAAGATTACTCTGCAGGAAGAATCTTCCTTCCACATAAAAGATACAAATTTGCAAACTGTAATTTAGTATTTCTGCTATATTCACCAAAACTCAGAAAACTACTGTCATACCTTATGCAATACATACCCTGGGGTAAGACAGGTATTTAATGAAAATTGTATTTTGATCCTATAGAGAGGCAGGCTCATGACAGACTGTTTGTTACGTGTACACTTGTTATTTTTTCAAAGCTCCCAGTAAAACGAATCACATAAGATAGACTGAAGTTCTTTGAAACTGTCACATGATAAATAATGCTATTCACCATTTAAAATACGTTCAATTTCTTCTAGTCTTTTTAAAGCAGCAACTCTTTTCTTCTCAATTTCTTTGATTTCTTTTGTTGTTTTATGGGGGGTCTCTTTGTCTGTATTTTTTCCTAATAGTTTGTTGGACTTAGATTGACTTTTATTATCACTTGATTTTATGATCTGTGTAGGTCTGGGTTTACTTCTTACTTCTTTTACATTTTCAGTTGGAATTTTGTCTCCTACACCTGAAGTCTTACCAGCTGGGGATACTGGCTGTTCTGCAAAACTAGATGAGGAAATTTTATCCCTGACTATATTTAAATGGCGTTGAATATATTCTTCATGTGGTGCTAATGCCAATGTTTCAACCAGGCATCTTTCAGCTTTTAGTAAGTCCTTCTCTTCAAAATAAACAACACAGAGATTATGTTTTCCTTGCACATTGTTTGGATCCATCTCCAAAATTTTTTCAAAACATTTTTTTGCTCCAAGTATATCTTTCTTTTGATTCATCAGAATGTCTCCCTTTAAAATGAGACCCTTGATATGATCAGGATAGTATCTGAGTAACTCTTCCAAAATTGGCAAAGCCATTAATTCCTTTGCAGTCTGAGAATACAGGAGAGCCAGATTAAACAAAGCACTTCTAAAATCGGCCTGTAGTTTTATAGCTTTCTTCATCCACATCTCTGCTTCACTGTCCTTTTTGTCATCCATGGCAAGCATTCCCAAATTGAAATAACCATTAGCATCTTGTGGCTCTTCATTTATATAGCTAAGAAGACGTTTTCTAGCTTCAGGTCTGAGTTTAACCTCACCTAAGAATAATTTTTTCAAAAAGAAAAAGACATATATTATTAACAAATGAATTAAATCTGAGGAACAAGACACTTTCAGTATTTATCTAGTTAGATTACAAAAAGACAGCATCAAAGCAATTAATTTCTGTACCTAAATCAAAAAAAAAATGAAAAAAACCCAAAGTTTTCACAGGAAAAGCAGTTGTGTTTGAAACAATGAAATGATTGTCTATTTCTTTTCCTTTAAAACAGTAAGAGTGCCTCAAAAAACCAGAAGGGATGAAATATTTCCTTAGTTAGGAATCTAACCGGGAGTAGCAGAGGAAAAATGTACAATTAAGAGGAAGAGGTATGTGATTAGCCAATAATGACATGTATTCTAATCTTGACTCTATTAACACTATGACTTATATAATAAACAAATTACTTAACTTCTCTGGGTTAGCCTGAATTTTTTTTTTCCTCATATAGTTTATTGTCAAGTTGCTTTATATATTAACACCCAGTGCTCATCCCAACAAGTGCCCTCCTCCATGCCCATCACCCCCCTTTTTCTCACTTCCGCACCCCCTCAGCCCTGTTTGTTCTCAGCATTCAAGGGTCTCTCATGGTTTGCCTCCCTCCCTCTCCCCAACTAATTTTTCCCCTTCTTTTCCCACTTCGTCCTCCATTAACTTCCTCTTAATCCACCTATATGTGCAAACATAAGGTATTTGTCCTTCTCTGCCTGACTTATTTCACTCAGCATAACACCCTCAAATTCCATCCATGTTGCTACACATGGCCAGATTTCATTCTTTCTCATTGCCATGTAGTATTCCATTGTATAAATATACCACATCTTCTTGATCCATTGAATAAAACAGCTCAGCAAATAGTAACTACTACTGTATAAACAGAATGTCTCAGTCTTACAAAATCAGATTTTTTTTAATTCAAATTTTTTAGGACTTTCAAAAGTAAAAATATACCATTAAATATAAAGCTTATAGGGGTGCCTGGGTGGCTTAGTCGGTTAAGCGTCCGACTTCCGCCTAGGTCATGATCTCGCGGTTTGTGGGTTCGAGCCCCGCGTCGGGCTCTGTGCTGACTGCCAGCTCAGAGCCTGGAGCCTGTTTCAGAGTCTGTCACTCCCTCTCTCTCTGACCCTCCCCTGCTCACGCTGTCTCTCTCTCTCTCTCCTAGAAATAAATAAAACATTAAAAAATATATATATAAAGCTTATAAATTTAAATACAAATTAGGATTCAAGAAACAAATATTTGAGATAATTCTTATTGCAAATAAATACAAAAAAATTCTGTTCCACAACTACAAATCTTAGGGTGCAATCTTGTGTTGAAAAATGGGCATTTTTTCATGACTGCCAAGGTTAACTAACTTTACAAAAACATTAGCTTTTCTCTAAATTTATGTATTGCATACCAGGCATAAAAATATCTCCTTCTAAACTTTTGACAATAAAATGAATAAAAAACATTGTAAAAAAAATCACTCAGCTTAAGTTCTTATCTTGAACTAGTTTTACTAAACTGGCCATAAGATATTTGGGGTAGTTATTAGACCTACTGAGTATGGCAAAAGTAAACTCAAACACTATGGTTTTATGATTCTTTCATTTTTTATAAAAGGTTTTAAAAAGTATTTAAGATATAACTACAAAATATAAATGTAGAGATTTTTTTCCAAACTAAAAATTAAGATTATAGATTATATATATATTGCCTTTTGTTGTAGTACTAAAATACCCATGCATCCCATGAATAATTTAGTTAAATTACAAAAAATTGTAAGAAATTATAACAATACCTAAGAAAGTAACACTAAATATAAAATAATACCAAAAGTTCTTGTTCTTACAAATCAAAAGAAATATACTGGTGTGTTTTCTAAAACATATAATGCTCGTCTTCCTAGAAATAATTCTATAAAGTATTTTGCAAATACTGATTTAGATAGTACTTATGAGTATTTATGAGTCAGAGTTTATATGTTTCTGTGCATAAGCTGACAAAGTACATTACAAAAGGCACTCAACAGACTGACTGAATAGTAAAGTCTCAACATATACTCAAAGAACTAACAATTGTGTTAGGGCATATTACTTGAAAACTTCAAGTATTCTAAACATTCTTATATTTATGCACAGTTTTGATATAAACTATTCATAAAACATCTGCTACACATAATGTAATTCAAGTTCAGATTTCATTATATTTCAGACTACAATGTGTTTAAACATAGAAATATTTTAAGAAAACATACCTGATTCTTGCATTAATATAGCAGAATTGAATAATGCTAGCTTATGCTTTGGATTTAGTTCTAAAGCACGATTAAAATTTTTTAGGGCTTCATTTGGTTCTTTAAGTTCAATATGAACAATCGCCAAGTTGTACCAAAGATCTGCATTATTTCTGTCCAGCTCCAGTGCTTTAAGATATGCTTCTTTTGCTTTAAGAGGCTTATTCATTTTTAAAAGCAATTCTCCTCTATGGAAAAAACAAACACAAGCTTTACTCACAACATTACCATGTCAATTTGCAGACATTATTTTTCATAAGTTTCAAACTTTCCACATATTCACAGCTTTCCTTTTAACCCAAGCTTTTAAAGTTTTCTATTGAAAATAACTATCTGAAAATGTCCTCAAACCTGAACTCACTAGTTTCGCAAATTTGGTTTGTTAGGTTTCCAAATATTATTAAAGAAAGAAAAAGCATAACTGACTTTAAAGGGTAAGATATGGGGAGGTATCCAAGAGAGGGGGACAGAAAAAATATATTCTTTAATTACATCTTGAAAGAAGACAGACCAGACTACATCACAAAAATGACAGTGCCAAGAATGAGAGATTAAGTTTCCAGGGGACCAAGTAATAGCATTTGAAGAAGGAAAATAAGTATGGTAGTGATGGGGTAATTCTAGTACTCAAAGCTATGACAGAAGTCTCATTTATAAAAAACAGAATGAAAATTTTTCCTCTTCTTATATTAATTTAATATTCTACAATGTAAGATGGCCATTGATTAAAACAATAGAAAAAACTCCCCAAAACAACAAAAAAGCGAATGTTTTAAGAGAGCAGACTAGTAGGCAGGCTGGAGAGCACTGGTGCCACCTGCAGATACCTTTGAGGAACACATCTGGAACTGAAGATCACAGTTTGAAAACCGTTTAACAAATCTTTCTAATATGGTTCTATTTTCTGCTAGAGCTTTAAAAGTCATTTTGCTTAAGTACATGTGTGCAAATAAATCTAAACAGCAATATGAGAATATTTTTATTATGATACTATTATTTCCTTTAAGTATCAGCATAGGAATGAAATCAAATGAATGACTAATAGTCTCAATTAAAACAACTTCTGGAATCACTATCTGTCCAAGATGTTACTTTTTAATGCAGACTATTGAATAATTCTTCATAGATTAACACACGACAGATTCTATTTATATATGCAACCCCACTAAACTTAGCTATTTTCAACAACTACTGTGTAAGAGTGAACAAAGATAGCCTCCAATTTATGAACATATTTTATCTCAAAAACTTATTTCATTCTGAATGCATTTTCCCTATAGGAACAATGTTAAAATTATGATTAGGTTTCTGGGCCAGGGGACAAAGCAGTTTAAAAAACAATTTTCCTCAAGTATAATACAAATGATAATCCCTACATTGGAAAATATATTAAGTTCTCTCTAACATGTGAGACATGTTTTTGTACTGACAACTAAAAAGTTTCTTTGTGGTAAATAAAAGGCATAATAACTAGCTAGTTGTCAGTATTTAAGAAAGCTCTTGAAAGTTAGATATTAGAATTATTAGAAAATATAAGTTTCAGGTGTTTAATTAAGAATGAATGTGACAATAAGAAGCAAATGAAACTAAGAAGCTTCTACTCTTTCTTTCATATAAAACCTTAGTTTGTTATGACAGGTTAAAGGCAATTTCAAACCAAATCAATTAAATTTTATTTTAAGTATAAAGTAGGCTATGCTTCTACGCTCTTGGTTGCCAACTAAGATTACTAAAAGAAAAAAGGAAGGGAATTTAGTTCAGACAGTCAAAATGTACATGCAGATGCAGCTTCAAGTCTCTATACTGACAGTGTAAAGGAAACCATGATACCTGCTAATATAAGCCTGCTTGAAGTCGGGTCTCATGCTTATTGCTTGTCGGTATAGCTGATCTGCTTCTTCCAGGCGGGACTCATTTGCTCTGATCAGATTGGCCAGATTAATATAAACATTTAAGTGGTTAGGCGCAATTCTGGCTGCATATTTTTTACCAGGAATGATCTATTCAGGGAAAACATAACTTGATTATCTCAGTACCAAATAAAAATAAAAAATAAGTATTCCTCTTAGCTTACTTAAAATATGCATGACATAAAAGGTTATGGAACCAGTTTTACTATTATATTAAAATAAGTCAAAAATGTGAAAGCACCTGCAGTATTTACAAAACGTTAATAAAGTAATGAATACTTTGTGGTATTAAAAGACAGAGTATTTTTTCATTCATGCTAGGTCAACGGAGTATTGTTAGCTTTTTTTTTTTATATGCATTTTATAAAATCCCATAAATTTAAACTTTAGAGGCTAAGGTCTGTTAGCTTATTTGTATCAGACAAGGAATAGAAAGAACTCAGGTCTCTTTCCTCTAGTGTATTTATTACACCATATCAACTTCCATGTTGTTGGCAACTTATTTCCTGGTTGTGACAATAGGACGGTTAATTTTGTTAAGACTCCTACTAAAGCCTCACTTGTCTGGTAGAATTAGGAAATAAAAGTCTCATATTAACTGATTATTCAGGTAAAGTAAAGGTTATAAAATATATAAAGACACAAATTTTCAATGAAAATAAATTATATCTGATAAAAGACTATATTGAACACAGTTTAACTTTACAATTTTAGGACTGAAACAATGCTTAAGAGATCATGTGGTCCAACTGCTTTTAAAACATTTCTCAAACTATATCTAATCATTTTAATATAACTATTAATATAATACTAATATATACTACCATCGAGAAAACAGTAGTGCAGGTTTTTAAAAACGTTTTTTTTTTTAATGTTTATTTATTTTTGAGAGACAGAGAGACATAGCGTAAGCAGGGGAAGGGCAGAGAGAGAGGGAGACACAGAATCTGAAGCAGGCTCTAGGCTCTGAGCTGTCAGCCCTGAGCCCGACACAAGGCTCAAACTCATGAATCACGAGATCATGACCTGAGCCAAAGTTGGCTGCTTAACCGACTGAGCCACCCAGGCGCCCCTGCAGTGCAGGTTTTTAAATGTTTAATTATTTTTGAGAGAAAGAGAGAGAAAGCATGAGTGGGGGAAGGGCAGTGAGAGAGGGAGACACATAATCTATAGCAGGCTCTAGGCTCTGAGGGTGTCAGCACAGAGCCCCACACAGGGCTTGAACTCACTCACAAACTTCAAGTTATGACCTGAGCCAAAATCGGACACTTAATCAACAGAGCCACCCAGGTGTCCTGCAAACTCAAACTATCTTTTCTGATGAGAGATCGATCTGACTTTCCAATTTTCATGCTATACTGTAATACCAATAAATTTTGTGCCTCTGTTATTGTAACAACTGAACATAATATAGCAAAAGGTGTATCCCCTCATTTTATTATTGTTTTATTCATTTATCTTTTGATAGGAATAATGTTGCATTTAATGCTAATGCATATATATAAAAATTTCTTCACTTAAACTCATTCAACTCACTGATAACTTGTAATCATTCAGAATATCTAAAATTCCTAAATTTCTAAAAAAATTTTTTTAATGTTTCATTTATTTCTAGGAGAGAGAGAGAGAGACAGCGTGAGCAGGGGAGGGTCAGAGAGAGAGGGAGTGACAGACTCTGAAACAGGCTCCAGGCTCCGAGCAGGCAGTCAGCACAGAGCCTGATGAGGGGCTTGAACCCACGAACCGCGAGATCATGACCTAAGCGGAAGTCAGACACTTAACCGACTAAGCCACCCAGGTGCCCCTAAAAATTTTTTACATAGAAAAGTTTAACCTTTTTCTTTTTAAAGTTTATTTTCTTTTTGACAGAGAGAGAGCGTGCAAGCATGTGGGAGGGGCAGAAATAGAGAATCCCGAGCAAGCTCCACAATATCAAGTGCAGAGCCCAATGCGGGGCTCAACCTAACCAACTGTGAGATCATGACCTGAGCCAAACGCAAGAGTTGGATGCTTAACCAACTGAGCCACCGAGGCTCCCCTAGAAAGTTTTTTTTTAATTAAGTGAACTATAAAAGTAAATATAATCCTTTATAAAACTTGTAGTACTATGCTAAGCAAAATAAGTCAGAGAAAGACAACTACTATATGGTTTCACTCATATGTGGAATTTAAGAAAGAAAACAAATAAGTAAAGGGGGAAAAGAAAAGAGCGTCAAACCAAGAACAGACTCTTAAATACAGAGAACAAACTGATAGTTTGGTAAGAGGGAAGATGGGGAAGGACGGGAGGGAGATGGGTGAAATAGGGAATGGGGATTAAGAAGTGCACTTGTATGAAAGTGCTGAATCATTATATTGTACAGCTGAAACTAATACCACACTGTATGTTAACCAGAATTTAAATGAAAGCTTGTAGTAATAAATTATTTATCGAACACTTTACATTTACATTAGCAAATTGAAGAAAAGATAATCTAGGTAATTCTATTCAATATGCACATCTAGTAGATATGACACAATAGGAATAAATTATGACAACTTACTTGGGGCATCAGGGACTTAGCCATCATATAAGATTCTTCAGCTTCTTTGGTTCTATTTAAATTTTTATAAGTTCTTCCTACATTCATGTGAGCACCAATATCATCTAAAATTTTAAAAAAATCATTTGTTGGGAAATATACTAAATAGTATTCAAAGTAAACCAAATGTTTCTAACAAAACACAGGCCAAAAAATGCAAAAGCGAGGAACAGGTCCTGCATCCTCCTTAAAGTTCTAACGCAGAATGATCAATGGTATACTAGAAAATTATGTCATAAAGTACTCTAAGGATAGAAAATGCATATATAACATGAAAAAACTATTTGAATGGATCCTGAAAGGCTAAGACGTGAGAGGGGAGATATAGAGGTAATAAAGAAATTTCTATCATTTCTCTTCAGTAGATTTTACTATACTATACTAAGGCTTGCTTTCATTTCCTTGATTGGATAGCTCAGGAATTCACTCAAATTGTATGGCTCAACTCTAAAAGTAAAAAGATCTACAAGTGAAAAAGATCATGATTTCTAAAATTATTTCCAATGTTATAACTAACAAATATACATGCATGGTGGGATAGGGCAAAGAGACTGAAAAAATTTTGCAATTTTGTTTTTAAAAATTTTGTGAATGTGGTCAGAATGCAAGTATAATAAAAGATCAGGATTCTCTAGCACCACTTAAGATGCAGTAGCCCATCCTACATAAAATACTTATAACTTTTTAAAAGGTTGTGTTACTACCAGTGTGTCAGAAACTTCTAATTTTCTGATATGGAGAATCAAACCCACAGCAAATTTTTTTCAGGGAAAGAGAAAATAAGCTACTTAAATAAGAAAGATATTAGGGCCCATTGCACACTAGTTTTAGGACACCTTTCCCAGTAAATATGTCAAAGATTTGGAATAAAGATAGAAGGGAGAAGATCTTAAATCAGACAAACAGTATTTATTGAACATGAATCTCTAGCAGACAGGACAAGGTTTCACATTATGATTACTACTTGTCTGTGAAACCATGATTTTGCAACTGTGTTTGTTTTCTGATTGTACCTTCTAGGACACACAGGGGCCAAGCACATTTATCTTAGGGATTCCCTTAGGAGGAGAGTAACAGTCCTAAAATCTTGTTACATTATGTTTTAGGCCGGTTACTGTGCACACTGTGCAGAAAATGTCACATGCAGTACAAATTTGGTTAAAGAGGTAAGGGACAAGATTGGGAGGAAAGGGTCGATTTTTTGTTTTTTGATGTATTGCTGATTCCAAGGGGTTTCAGGAGAAGGAAAGGGGGGAAAAAAGGGAAAAAAATTGCTTAGGCAAACCATTCCCAATTCTGGCTGCAAATCAGGATACCTATGTACTTTTAAAAAGTCATATAACCTCAGCACCACCTAGCTCTATCAAAATAGAATCTATAGAAACAGGACCTATGAAAATGTTTTTAAAAGGTTTCAAAGGAGGTTCTGATGTAGAACCAAGGCTGAAATTCACTGCATTACCAAGTGCATATAAAAATAGAGTAGGTAGTCCTTGCTCTTATATAGCTCTTTTTTTTTTTAATTTTTTTTTTTTTAATTTATTTCTAGGAGAGAGAGAGAGACAGCGTGAGCAGGGGAGGGTCACAGAGAGAGGGCGTCACAGAATCCGAAACAGGCTCCAGGCTCTGAGCTGGCAGTCAGCACAGAGCCCGACGCGGGGCTCGAACCAACGAACAGCGAGATCATGACCTAAGCGAAAGTCGGACGCTTAACCGACTAAGCCAACCCAGGCGCCCCTATATAGCTCATTTTTTAAAGTCAAATAAATCTATATAATTTATTTTTATATATTTTTAAGTTTAAAAATTTTTATTTTTTAAATTCTTTTTAAAAAATGTTTATTTGAGAGAGAAAGAACATAAGGAGGGGAGGGGCAGAGAAAGAAGGAGACAGAGAATGCAAAGCAGTTTCCAAAACTGTGGGGCTCCAACCTCTGAACTGTGAGATCATGACCTGAGCCAAAGTCAGATGCTCAACTGACTGAGCTACCCAGGCTCCTCAAATCTGTACCTATTACTATAGAGATTAGAAAGTTACTTAGGAAAAACTAAGAACCTTAAAATATTATGAAGTAATAATTTAAGGAAAGAACAAAGAAACTGGTAGTTTAGATAAACAAAATTATCAGTGAAGTATTTACAATGCTACTGACATCATCCCAATCAATCTTAGAAAAGAAATAGCTTGGGGCACCTGGGTGGCTCAGTCAGTTAAGCGTCAGACTTTGGCTCAAGTCATAACCTCATGGCTCATGGGTTTGAGTCCCACATTGGGTTCTGTCCTGACAGTTCACAGCCTGGAGTCTGCTTCATATTCTGTGTCTCCCTCCCTCTCTCTCTCTCTCTGCACTTCCCCCTTTCACACTCTATCTTCTCTCAAAAATAAACACTAAAAAAAAAAAAAAAATTGTTTTAATGAAAAAAAAATAAAAGAAAGAGGTTATCCACTTGGATGAAAGACAAGGCAAATTAATACCCACTGAAAACAGGTTCTTAAAACTATGGCAAGGAGACAATTGTCATCAGTGCAGACTTCAGACACTAGAATAAGGTAGCCCTATTTTCTCAAAGAACTAAGATAGCAATTAGATATCCTACAACACAGCTAATAAAATGAAAGACAAAATTTCTAAGCAATTTCTTATAAGTTACAAAGTTTTAAGATTCCAGAGAAGGAAATTACCATTATTGGAGTAAATTTGAAAAGCAAACAAACAAAAAGGATTAGGAAAGCATACAAGATATAAAAAGCAATGACGTTTAAATGACTTATAAAGAGCTACAGTATTTCAACGAACAATCCTGCTATTATGAGTGTGCCATCCAAACCAATAGCACGAATCTCGCAGTCTATCTTTAATTCAATGTAAATGAGAACTGGGAAGTACTCAGCAACTTTGTGTCTAATCATTCTTTTTCCACCAACAATGAAGCTAATAAGCATTTTCACACTGATAGTCCCTGGCATTTATGTTGCTTTCCAGTACTTCCTATCTACAAAATTATCTGTCAATTCATTTAAAGAGGTAAATTTATAAACACCTGAAAACTTCTAAATACTCTTTAAAATCATTTCCATATTGACAACATCAACGTTGAAATATGAGTCCATGATTTTTTTTCAGATAAACAGTTTCAAAGATTTGGACATAAAAATGAAATCAAAACAAATTTCACAGAACTCTAGTGTTCCTTGACAAAAATCTATCCATGTCTTGTAAAGATGTTTATAGACGCTGTAATTCCATTTGTAAAAATTTTATCTTTGTGAATTGGAATTTTTTAAAACACCTGTAACCATCGAAACAAAACAAATTACACTTTTTCCTCTAACACAACATGCTTGTCACCTTCTCAGACCACTGCATAGTTTATATTCTTATTCTGGCTAAGCAAGAAAAGCCTTCAGACTCAATATTTTATTTTTTTAAAGTAATTTTAAAATGTTATGAATCCCTGTTTATGTGCTCAACTATTCCAAGGTTTTGAATATCTATATACTTGTTACTCCAAATTTTTACATCTAGTCCTGATAGCCCTTATCTCCAGTCTTTTATGAATCTATTTGTGTATGTCTAACATGGATAAAAAAATGACTCTTGCCATACATGAGATACCTATACATACATGCCATTTCATCTATTACATCTATGAAGAACACAAAGAAAGAAAAGAACAAGCTGTCTCTAAATACCAAATTCAATGTTTCTAACTTGACATATTTTTTTTCAAGTACTTTATATACGTACAATGGAGGGGCAAAGAGAGGGAGGGAAAGAATCTCAGATAAACTGGTTTACCTGTTGTCTTAGCCTATGGCTTATTAGAAACAGCAATTTTGAGAATATGGAAGAGAAGTTACACTAAAGGGAGTATCAGCAAGTATCTCAAAAAAGGCAAAAAGTGACAACCAACAGTGAGGGGAAAATTTATTTCAAAACTGAGTGCTTGTACCTGACAACGGTACACTCCACCAAAATTGTTTATCGGTACCACCCGACAACTCTATGTCAAAAAAAAAAAATTCTTTAAATGTCTAAGTAGCTCTAACATATAATCCAACTCAAAATAAGCCAGCATCGAGCGCTGTAGTGTTCAAGTCACCCGGAATAAAGTTTGAAAATAAAACTCTATACTCCCCAAATATAATTCAAGTTTTAAAAAGAAACTATTCAAATAGTTTTATTAATTAATAGTGCTTACCTGGCTGTACATGAGTAGCCTGTAAGAAATATTTCAAAGCTCTCTCAAAGTTCTTTTCATTTTCTAGAGCATGACCCACATTATTCCATAATTTGGCATTATTTTTATTTACCTTAAATACATAAGCATAGATAGAAATTAGTTACAATTAAAAAAATACAACTCGAATTAACACAGATATTTATTTGGTATACCACTAGGAATGGAGTATTCTAGAGATATCCATGAATGGGTGAAGGTGGTCAAAGGAACAGACTTTCAGTTACAAGATAAATAAGTTCTATGGATGCCAAGTACAACATGGTGACTATAGTTAACAATGCTGTAATGTATATTTGAAAGCTGCTAAGAGAGTATATCTTCAAAATTCTCATTAAAAGAAAAAGGTTGTAATTGTGAGGTAATAGATGTTAACTTATTGCAGTAATTATTTTGTAATATATCTATAAATCAAATCATTATGTTGTACACCTTAAACTAATACAAAGTTATATGTCAATTATAACTCAATAAAACTTGAAAAAGTAATTTAGACTTTCTCCCAAAAGAGAAAAATTTGTGTGTTTGTAGATAGATAGATAGATAGATAGATAGATAGATTCAGATATATCTCCAATTAACACAGATATTTGTTTGGTATATTATTAGAAATGGAGTGTTTGTTGGAGGTATACCTGGAGATGAGAAAGGAGCCAAATGAACACGGCTTCACCAAATTTACTCTCCCTTTCCTTTTAACATTAATATACTAAAACCACAGCAGTCTGATTTCATATTTTATATTAGAATTTTACTAAAACTTTTATTTGATCAAAGCAGCACGGGGTGCTAACTGGCTCAAACAGTAGAGAATGAACTCCTAATCTCAGGGTTGTGAGTTCAAGTCCCACACTGGACACAGAGTTTACTAAAACGAAAACCAAAAAACAAGCCACAGTGCTGTTTGAAAACTCCTGCTCTATTTACATTCTTTTAGGAGAGAAGGTATGTGAACATAAGAATATATTTAACACTGCACCATTTATTTTTTAGACTTATTATAAAGTTATTTATATGATCTATTATGGTAACAGGAACCCTGGGATTAAAGTTCTAAATTGATCTGTGCTTTCGGAGTTCACTGATGATGGGGATGGTGTTCCGGCAGGAAGAGGATGGTACCTGGCCAAGGAACTAGCTTCAGTGACTACGGCTGTGGTTTTGAGATTGTCTTGGCTTAAATAAGCAAAATTCTTGAAAATTATGGGGATCCATTGGTATTTCCGGAGTGCAGATTAAGAATGGTAATGAGGTCTATTTATAAACTTCTGAGCTAGAGGAAAGAATGGAGTTACTGAGACTAAAGGATAGTCATGTGATACTAAACTGATGTCAAATCAAGCAGTCACATTGACTACTGGAATGAGGCAGTATTCTAGTAAAGTCAGGCAATGGACACTACACAAATAGTCAAAAAGAATTTAGAAATTTATAGATTTGAAGAGAAACAGCTGAAAAACAAAGTCAATGCTTTTAACTTTCACAAAAGACATATTTTATGATTTTTAAAAAGACTTTATTCTCAGATGTTGTCCATCCCACAGAAATGTTTTATCACTCCTTTCTGCCAGTTCCTCTCTTAACTACCATATTGTAACCACTGGTTATCTTCCACACAGTAAGGTGACATTTTTTGTTATGCATTTTATTTCATTGAATCTAAGATGCTATCAATTCTAAGACTTACCATTAAGGAAAAAAAAAGCTACTAATTGTTAAGATGCCTCTCACTGTAAGATTTATTCTGGTTTTAGAGATGTTAGAGGTAAAAATTTTAAAAAAGTGCACCTTCAGAACTACTGAACTATATATAAATATATATAATATTCTTATTTAAGAATTTTTTTAATGTTTATTTTTGAGGAAGAGAAATAGAGCGTGAGCAAGGGAGAGGTAAAGAGAGAGGGAGACACAGAATCCAAAGCAGGCTGAGTTGTCAGCACAGAGCCTGATGTGGGGCTTGACCTCAAAAGCTATGGGATCATGACCTGAGCCAAAGTCGAACACTTAACCAACTGAGCCGCCTAGGCTCCTCTATGGTATTCTTAAACATTTTATTAGCATTTGAGCTTCTAACAACTGTATAGTATTTAGGAAATTATCCATGTATGATGTAGACATCCAACTAAGTACTATTCAGAGCACTGGTTACATTATATATTATATAAAGAACAAATTTTTATTAATCTTTTAGTGAAGTACTTAAAATAGTTAACTGTCAATTTAAATGTAAACATGTTACGTATCATTAATGACATACTTTCCTGTTATTCTGGGTAATACTTTACCTTCAAGGCTGACATAAACAATGTATATTCAGACTCCCAATCCCAATTTCTGTGGAGTGTTTTTAAGGCATGAGTGAATATCACCATAGACAGACAAACCCAAGATAGCTTTTTTAATACACTGTTTAAGAGGAAAAAAGAAAAAGAAAAACAACATTGTCTATATCACCAGAAGCATTTTACCTTTCAGAATAGAGGTAAGAAATGTTAAATATCCCCAAATATCATGTTTGAGTTTATTCTAAGGAATGAGGATCATTCTAATAATCATTCAACTTCAAAGGCAATAGCAACGAAATTATGCACACTACCTTCTACTTCAGTCTTCAATTATATTAAATATTCCACAACCTGTCTCTATTTCAAAAATTCTGTTTAGATAATGATAAACTGATAAACCAACTTTTAAGTATTAACTTTCCTTTTGGGCCCTTTACTTACAACTTGAACATTCTTTTTTACATTTTTTTTAACGTTTTATTTATTTTTGAGAGAGACGGAGACACAGCATGAGCAGGGGCAGGGCAAAAAGAGAGGGAAACACAGAATTGGAAGCAGGCTCCAGGCTCTGAGCTGTCAGCACAGAGCCCTACGAGAGGCTTGAACCCACAAATTGTGAGATCATGACCTGACCTGAAGTTGGACGCCCAATCAACTGAGCCACCCAGGTACCCCACAACTTGAACACTCTTAGTTGTGTTTATCAAGGGTCACTTTTATCACTGGATGTATTTTAAAATATTGTGGCTTACCGAGACTGCATCTATACCACAGATTATCATGACATTCTTCGAATATTTTTACATTCTAAAGCTAGAGTTACTTATGATAAGTCATAGTAAAACTAACTCTTTATGTAATAGGTACAAATTACTTATATATAGCTTTAGGCTAATTATTTGGGACTCAATTCCTCACGTATAAAAAGGTTATACTTCAATAATCCCTATACTCACATTCATTACTAATGTTCTCGAGTCTATGTTTTTGTCTCAGTAACACAGTTTAACTTCTTTTATTTTGACAGATCCACTTAATCAGAATAAGAATACATGGATCATAAAGAACATGGATACTGGAAGCAGTAAGATGTAAATGTAAATCAAGACTCTACGGTTTACTAGTTGTGTGCTCTTAAGGTAATCTGGTTCAGTAACCTGTATGAGCTTCAATTTTCAAATGTGCATAACAGAGTTAAGGAATGTTAGACTTTTAAAAAAAAGTTTTAAATGCTTTTTTAAAAATTTATTTCTGAGAGAGAGAGAGAGAGAGAGAGTGAGCGAGCAGGGGAGGGTTAGAGAGAGAGGGAGACACAGAATCTGAGGCAGGCTCCAGGCTCTGAGCTGTCAGCACAGAGCCCGACGTGGAGCTCGAACCCACGAACCGTAAGATCATGACCTGAGCCAAAGTCGGATGCTTAATCGACTAAACCACCCAGGTGCCCCAAGGAATGTTAGATTAAATGAGAAAACAAATCTAAAAGGTCTATCATGGCTCTTGGCACCTGGTAAGCACTCAAAAACTGGTAGTCACTATAACTTGATACATGGGTAGAAGTTAAGAGAAAAGGCTTGGTAGATGTTAGCAAAAATTGTAGACATAGATGAGATCATCCAGAGAGAATATGCAGTGTGAGAAAAAAATGGCTGTGAATAAAACTCTGAGAAATAAATATTTAAAGAGCAGTTATAACAATAAGAATCTGAGAAGAGACTGAGCAGAGATGAATAGACATGTAAGAGAATTAGGAGAAAGACTTTAAACAGATGCCAGGGAAAGAACTTTTAAATACAAGCACTGACTGGATTTAGTTACTAGGATGAAATGATACAGAGCGAAGTCAGAATTCTGTGTATTGAACGATGACTAGGACGTGAGAAAGCAGAGTCAGTGACCATTTCTTGCATATATACAGTGTGAATACTCTGTTCCTTAATTGTTAGTTTGAGGCCACTAGGACATGGTAGTTATGATGAAGAGTGATGATATCAAATTACAGATTGCTTACTATATGCATTTTATATATATTAAATCAATATGACTCATTTAAGTAAGAAGGTTATATCATAGTTCACTGCATATGGAAGTGGAAATGGTAATTTGTAACTTAAGTCTCAATAATATCCTTGTTTTCATTTGGGTCTAACTCAAAGTGTGCTATGTCTCAGGCTTACAACAAAATGATATAAATAAGAGAAAGAACATAGGATGAGGTAGATGCCATGGAGCTTTCTTAACCTGAATTACAGAAAAATGAGATGATCACGATGAAAAATAAAAAGGCATAAAAGTATGACTTACAAAACTAAACATTTTAAATACTTAAATGTATCACACTTAATTCTATAGTTAGTAAGCATTAAATGAACTAATACTTTAATTCACCTTTTGTTTGATATTTTCTGCCATCCATGGGCCACCAAAATACAGAACCCCATGCTAGGAACATATAATACTCGCTCAGCAACAACAAATCCAACTGGGAAGAAAAGGTTTGATGCAGGAATAAATGGTAATGCCATTAGACAAAGTGCCTACAAAGAAAAATAAGATATTTCACTAAAGAAGTATGTGAACATTCAGCAGTTAAATCCAAATATTTCATCATATAATTTGAATAGTGTACTGGTGGACCATTTGAATAATACTGTAAACAATACTAACTTAAACACGAGGAAGGCAACTTAGGGATGGTAATAACAGACATCAGGATGTATGTCACCAAAGTGAGATCAAGCTGGAACTTATAACCAGGGCTCATCTAATTAGATAAAAAAAATATTTTGGGGGAGTATATCTAAAATAAGACAATTATATTTATACATCTAACATATATGTGTGGTAAAAATAAACTGATAGTGAAAGATGTTAACAAGTTTTAACGAAACAAAACCAAGCTTGCTAGTTCTTATAATTTTACTACTGTTAACTATGCACATCATATTGGAAATTGAAGGAATGACGTAAGGTGTACTTCACACAAGACAGCAGGGTACTACTTTTGTACCCCAGCACTACTTTGCATAACATTCTGACGGATCATCTACATTTAACAGAGGCTTAGTGTGTGTGTGTCTGTGTGTGTATACATACATATATATACATATATATATGTAAAATGCCCGTATTAAACAGTAGTCTTTTATTCTACAAGAATTTCTAAAAATGTAACACTGTACATTGAAATAAAACATCATAAAAATTCTTAGATTGTTTTTGCCATTTTGAAAATGAGTTAACATATGGTTTCCAGATTATAAAGCCATTAAAAAAGTAGGATACAAACAGCTAACACACAAATAACTTGTGAAACGAAGTTGGTTGTTATTAGGACATCTGTTTCTATGGATATATGCTTCCACACTGTTACTCTAATTTGTTTTATAGTATCTAATTGAATAACTATGCAAATTGTTCCTTCAGCTTCAGAAGTTTGAGAAGACTGTATTTTCTTTATTATACTTCGTTAGTAAAATATAGAGATGTACATACACTGAAAAACATACTTTCTCCGTATATCACAAATTAATGACCTGTAATGAGGAAATAACTCTAAAGTACTACCAAACTGCTCAGTATCATGCTAATTTATAGACCTGGAATTTTAGTGGTTTTTGACCAAAAAGGTAAAATATTAAGAGTACATAATTCACTATCCATTTCCCAAGAGTGCTTGATAAAACAACCAGCTAGCTGTGAAATGGAAATATTCCTAACTCTGTAGTCCTTTTCTAAAAACAAACATTTTTTAAAAATAATTCATGGCTTCCCTATAGCAATTTTATTTAAAAGAATTAAAAGTGTTATATTCATCCAAAGCTGTATTGGTTATGATGCATAAGCTACATACACAAAAAGCAATTTCACAAAAAAACCTACCGGTTCTTTGATAAGGAATGCCTTTAATGATCAACTTAATCAAAAGTTCTAATATGTTCTCTACTGGTATACGCCAACCTAGGTAACTATGGCCACCATAAGTTCCTTCTTCAGTAATGTAAAACTCTCTTTAAAAGAAAAGGTGTTAGGGACGCCTGGCTGGCTCAGATGGTTAAGCATCTGACTTCAGCTCAGGTGATGATCAGGTTTGTTGGTTCCAGCCCCATGTGGGGCTCTGTGTTGACAGCTCAGAGCCTGGAGCCTGCTTCAGATTCTGTGTCTCTCTCTCTCTGCCTCTCCCCCACTTGCACTCTGTCTCTCAAAAGTAAAAACATATTAAAAAAAAAAAAAAAAAAGAAACAAAGAAAAGGTGGTAGTGGAAGCTCAAAGAGTTTGGAACAAATCTCTTTTACTTCTTACTTCCTATGTAACATAAGATAAATGACTCAATTACGTTGCCAGTGTTTCTTCATAAATAAGGATTAATAACTGCTTATACTGTTGGGATACATGTGACATTTTATTTAATAAGTGCTTAACATGGTATCTGGTACTTGGCAGGTACTCCTCTACCCAATCCCTTCCATAGATCTTCAGAAAATATCACCATAAAAAATAACGTGTTTGGGACTATCTTAAGGCAGTTAGTTATACCTAAGGTCACAATGGTTCCTTTTTTATACACATAAAATTTATATAAATCTATGCTTACTTCATTAGCACTTCTTTTTTATTCAGCTTACATTACATAAATCATTATTTGCCAAAACTTTAAATTCACCCAACCTTCCTTGTTTTTCCTTTCTTTTAGCAGAACCTCAGTTTTGGAATGTGTTCTACCATATATCTGCTTTGTCAGTATTTACCTGAGCAACAAAGTACTACTAGAGACAGTCTCAAAGGAGAATAGATTAGTATCATCATAAATTCATGATCATCAACTTCAAACTGATTCTTAAGACTATTCGGAATTTCTAGGCTTTTTTGTTAGGCTCCCTCCCACTCTCCTATATTTTGAATCTTGATTACTTTACTCAACCTTTTGATCCACATCACTTTTAGCAGGCGACTGTACTTCCAAAGTTAGAGAGAAAACTAAAGCCATAAGACAAGAATCCCTTCAATTGCCTGCTCCTATACCTACCAATGTCCATATTCATGTGTATTTCCACCTATTCTGCGACGTTAAGAGGTGTCTCCATCTATCTCAAGCCAAACCTGACCTCTATCTACATTGCCCTTGATCCTCACAAATCTCACAATTAGCCATCCCTTCATTTACTTAGCCACCTTCTAATCACTGTATGGTTCCTATCCATCTTCAAATATGCTCTTGTCTCCCCAACCTTATATATCTCCTTTGACAACATACATTTTAGTTACCTTCCCCATTCATTATGTCCTTCAGGTGTAAAACAAGTTCCCACACTCTGAGGAAAGCACTTTTATAGCCAAGGTAACAAGTACCTGGTTTTAATCCCACTTAATCAACAGTTCAAATCAAGGAGTATGTTTTTGCAAATCAACTATTTAATGATATACCCTGCTTCTAAAAGTCAGCCAACTGAGTACTCCAATGAAAGTGATTCTCCTACTTCTGAAGGTACACTAAATATAGAACTTCATGCTTCCTCCAAGCTCTACATGAGATTATTAGTCTATTATGCTTGAAGCTGGCATAGTATTCTCTCACTTAGGTAGTAATCAATTCAAGTTTGCTCATTTTGTAAGATATTCAAAGTTGAGTTACCCTACAGATTGTCTACAGTAGGAATCTTCAGGTCTTCATCTCCTAATCAAATTTCTCCACAGAAATAAATTTAAGTAACTAATACACCTAAAAGAGGTCAAATATAACTGATCTCACTTTTCTGCTTCACAGCATCTGTTAGTGATAATCATTCCATCTTTCTTGAAACATTTGCTTACCTTTCTGTCCACTTGGTCTATCTCCTACTTTGGTTCATTCTTCTCTACACAATATCTAAATATAGAAGCTTTCTTATTTTTTTTATTTATTTCTATTTTTTTTCTCAAGTTAGTTAACATACAGTGTAGGCATGGCTTCAGAGTAGAACCCAATGATTCATCTCTTACATGACTCCCTGTGATCATCCCAAAAAGTGCCCTCCTTAATGCCCGTCACCCATTTAACAGCCCCCACCATCAACCCTCAGTTTGCTCTCTGTATTTAAGAGTCTCTTATGGTTTGCTATCTCCTCTGTCTTTATCTTATTTCTCCTTCCCTTCCCTTATGTTCATCTGTTAAGGTTCTCAAATTCTACATATGAGTGAAATCATACGATATCTTTCTTTGACTGATTTGTTTTAAGCAGGCTCTGCACCCAGTGTGGAGCACGACATAGGGCTTGAACTCAGGACCCTGAGAACAAAACCTGCACCGAGATCAAGAGTCGGATGCTTAACAGACTAAGGCACCCAAGTACCCTTAAATATAGGAGGGTTTTTTTTTTTTTTTTAAGAATTAGTTGTAGGTTTCTTTTCTTTTCACTCTATCTAGCCCCTTCAAATATCTACTCAGGAAGAATTAAGACCAAATACGCTAAGGCATTAATTATGTGTATGAATTATCTTCTATGCATCTAGAATAGTAATAGCTGGTTACGATCTTTGAGAAAAGTGACAAAACCCCAGTTGAAAAACCTCTATAACCTCCCCCCATAGACTATATTAATCACATTCTGGTTTCAATTACTATCTCTATGCTAATCAATCAAATTTTTATGTGCAGCTTAGGCATGTCCTCTGAACTCCAGGTACTATTCAAATTCTCCACTAGGATGAAACTCAACAGATTAAAAAATAATAGTAAAAATGATCTTTCTCCCAAACCCTATTTCCTTTCAATCTTCTCTATATATCACAGATTAACTTCAATTTTTCCAAAATGTCAGTTCCCTGGTAATCAGGGCCTTGTATTTATTTTTTATCATATTCTCAGTGCCTAAAATGCTGCCTGGAACACAGATAACAACAAAAAGCTTTTACGGAATGACTAAATTAACCTGGTGACTACAGCCAGGTATGATGTATTTGTAAAGCATTAAAAACACTTTCTGGCATATAGCAAATGCTCAAGAAAACATTAAAGCTTATTATTGTCTTCAAAAACTAAAAGGAAGAAAAAGCAAAATTGTTAGAAGTGACAGAAAAGAAATTTACAAAGAAATACATCTCTGAATAAGACGACTTTGTAAATAATCAGAGTCCTCTGAACACCGTAAAAAATATCTCACAGAATAATGAAAGTCTTACTAATGAGAACTAAAGGGTATATGTTTCTAGCTGTCTATCTTACGTGACACTCTTCTCTGTGTCAAGAAAACAAAGTATATAATACGATCAATTTCCTCAAAAGAAGTGAATAATCTACTTGTATAAAGAAACAGAAGATAATGATGCCAAAAGCGATGCTTCATGATATCAGAGTTCCTACCAATTAGGGAAATTCATAACCAGTTTTTATTTTACATACTGAATATATATATGCCTGCATCTGAAATGCTGTTATATATTAGGATAACCTAAAATATATTAATAAATTAGGGTGATGCTGAATATACAAAAATACTGTTTCTGAAGAAGATGCTTTGACAAATTAAAGGTGGTCTCTAAATCAAGTGAATGTTATATCATCTGAAAAATTATTAAAGTTTTCTTACCATTAAAACAGTCTTGGAGGAATCACCAGGGTATCTGAGACTGAATACCCCCAAAGCCCCCAAAAAGCAAAAGAAAGTAAATGTGGCAAGATTTCGAATATCTAGAAATGACTCTATAAGTGGTATTGTTCCCATGGTCCAATCACAGCAGAGTTCTGAAGGATTTAATAGAAGCCAAGCATTCAATGGAAGGAGGTAGTTAAAAGTTAGTTGCCTTGTAGGAGTTGGGCTTACAGCAGCTGGGTTATCAAACCTGTATAAAGATTGAAAAAAAGTTATTTAATCCAAAACACGTTTCAAACACAAAATTATGTAACATATAAATAAAATACCAAAAAGAGCAGTATTTCATATGTAATCTCACTTAAAATGACAAAATATTTATTATGAATACCTCATCCTCACTGGAGTTCAAAGTGTCTAACCTTTATGAAATATCTAGTTGAGTAACTATGAAAAACAGTTTGAAGGGCAACTAGGTTACCTATTTCTAATTTACTACTAGAATAATTCAGACATGTGTACTCTGCAGAAGAGCTTTCACTAAATTTCCCGATTAAAAGCAAAAAGAAGCATTTTATTGTTGTAGGTGTTATATGAGTGCTTCTGAGAACACTGATCAATGTTTCCTTCTGCATGAGATAGATGCTTCTTTCAGCACTAAATGCTAATAAAAATTATACTTCCTTGAAAGAATTACTGTTTTTCTTTTGTCATGGACAGAAAAAACTATATCACCCATGAGATTTTCCTCTTTGCTTAGACTTTTAGAAAGCTGAAACCAAAAAAAAATAAATTAAAAAAAATTAAAAAAAAGAAAGCTGAAACCAAATTTCCAGTATAGAAAAGTAACTGTATTTGCCCATATAACATTTTGTTTGTATTCTTTTTCTCTCAGTATATACTAACATAAGCTTATACTTTTTTTCCAGCATTTATTTAAATTCTAGTTAACATATATGGTAAAACATATGTGGTTTCTGTGCAGAATTTAGTGATTCATCAATTACATATAACACCCAGTGCTCATCTCAAGTGGCCCTCCTTAATAACCATCACCCAATATCTCCCACCCGCCTCCCTCCATCAACCTTCATTCAGTTTGTTCTCTATAGTTAAGAGTCTCTTAGGGTTTGCTTATATCCTATATTTGTCCAGGGCATAATATATTACATATACATTTCATTAATTCAGTCTGCTTCCTGCAAATTAAGTCAAGTCACAGTCAAATCATTTAAGTATATTTAAAATGAATGACATCAGATATTCATTTCTTTAGGCTACATTCAAAATTTTATTGGTTTTGTTAACATATAGTCTTTAAAAAACCCAATTTTTTATTTTAAAATGAATAGGTTAATTAAAAAAAACATCTACCATGTATTTGACTTGGTCTTCCTAAAAATTTAAAAGGCTGAGAAAAAGTAAATATGATTTGAAGAAATAATATCATTTTTAAAACTTTCATATTTGAATGGAGATGAAACAGAGATGAAAAACAGTTGATGCAAATTCTCTAAAAGGAATAATAAAAACAATAACTGAACATGAGGGTAAAGAAGGAAATATAAAATATATATTTACAATTCAATCTCTTTCCCATATTTTACTATTTAAAACAGTTGGTTCAGTTTATCGTGGCTAGACTCAGAAGTAAAAATTCATGAAGTTAGAAAGCAATTATTCTTTAAAGAAACAAATGCTACTGAAAGGAATAATTACGTGGAAATGTTAAAAAGAATGTAAGAGAATTATCTGAATAAAATTTTATCCTAACCAGGGCCAGCAATGCATTATCATGGACAGTACCCGAGCAAGATTTTGGTCTTCTGTTAAAAAAGATATTGCATGTAATGTTAGTCACTTAAATAAAATTGGATAAGGAACTAGTATAAATTTCATTTTACTTTTTATTTGTTTGAGAGACAGTGTGAGATAGGGAGGGGGAGGGAGAAGGGAAGGAGAGAGAGAGAGAGAGAGAGAGAGAGAGAGAATGAATGAATGAGAATCCCAAGCAGGCTCTGCACTGTCAGCGCAGAGCCCAATGCAGCATTTGATCCCATAAACTGTGAGATCATGATCTGAGTCAAAATGGAGAATTAGATGCTTAACTGACTGAGCCAACCAGGTGCCCCTATAAATTTCATTTTAAGTTTTACCTGAATAAGGTGAAATGGGAAAATGCTAAATGTTAGAGCAGGAAAACAAGATATGTAGACTGTTAAATTCAATAACTTTTACTTCTAGTCTTAAAGGAGTGAAGAACTGGACAAGATATCAGTATCAGGCCAAGAAAGACAGTGATACCTGAGAGAAGGAAAAAAAAAATGAGGGAAACTCTACCTGGGAAGTTCAATACTTGGATAAAGTTTTTAGTCTGTGAAGCAGTCAGGGGGAACCCAGTGGAGCCTAGGAGTATCCCTGAGTTGTGAAGATGGAAGTGGGATTCCTACCTAGGAGCCCATGGTGATAAAGTCCGTGGGGAGAATACCAGGGAGAAGAAAACTGCTGAGAAAGAGAACTCAGATCTATAGAGGGTCTCTCTCCAGTTTGTATTACTGATGAGAACTGATCGGCATATATATGTGAGGAAATACTTAAGGTCAGTGTAGTGGGTTAAACCACATCTCTCAAACATTCCTGTCTACCCAGAACCTCAGATATTTTCCTTATTTGGAAATAGGTTCTTTTTAAAAAAAAAACTTTTTTAAAAAATATTTTATTTACTTCTGAGAGAGAGAGAGAGAGACAGTGTGAACAGGGGAACGTCAGAGAGAGAGGGAGACACAGAATCCGAAACAGGCTCCAGGCTCTGAGCTAGCCGTCAGCACAGAGCCCGACACAGGGCTCGAACCCATGAACCATGAGATCATGACCTGAGCCGAAGTCGGACACAACCACTGAGACACCCAGGCGCCTCTGAAATAGGTTCTTTGTCAATGTAATTAGTGAAGTTAGGATGAGGTCATAGCAGATTAGGGTGAGCCTTAAATCTAATGTATAATGACTGCAGTGATACAGTAACACACCAACACACCAAAGACTGCTAGCAAACACTAGAAGCTACTAGCAAAGAAGCATGAAACAGATTCTTCCTGAGAGTCTTCAGAAGGAACCAACTGTGCCTGACACCATTTGGACTTTGGCCTTTACCACTGTGAGAGAATACATTTCTGCTGCTTTAAGCTACCCAGTTTCTGGCAATTTGTTACAGTAGCCCTAGGAAAAAATAATACAGTTAGGAAAGTACCTCGCAAAAGAATTAGATAAAAATTCTCAAATACCATACAGAGCTAGGAATAATTCCTCAGCAGCCAGAATGAAAATCCACATAAGTCACAGTTTATCAGACAGAATCAGTAGTGGAAGAAAATTAGCCCTATCATAAATGCTGCTGCTGGGGTCTCATATAAGAAAGCTCAAGAGCAAGACTAGAAGATGAAACATTTCTCAAACAACTTAAATGCATCCCAGAATAAAGCTCTAAAATATTTATAGGAATATATTAAAGTAAAACTCACATGTGGCATCTACTAAAAAATTGCTGGGCATGTGAAAAAGTAGAAACATATAATGAAGAGAAAAATTATTCAATGAAGAGAAAAATTATTCACTCTAAGAAATAACACACTCAAGAAAATTAGTAGACGAGGACATTAAAGGGATGAAACATATAGAAAAGGCTTAAACAGAACTTTTAGAGATGAAAACAATGTCTAAAATGAAAAAGAACTAGAAAAAATTAAAGGCAGACTAGACATTGCATAAAAAAGATTAGTGAACTTAAACACAAAGCAGAAGAAACAAAATGAAAACAGGGAGAAAACAGTTTTGGGAAAGGAATAATCAGAGCATTAGTATGACAACTTCAAAAGGCCTAATTCACATGTAATTTGGGGTTCTTGAAGAAGAATAGAAAAGTATTTTAAGAAGTAATGGCTAAAACATTTCCAAAATTTACATCAAGTAAAACCTACAGATTCTAAGCTCTATTAACCTAAACAAGACAAATGAAGATAAACAGAACAGTAACTAGAAACTTGTATCATTTGACCACCTTCACCCAAAGTTTACTGTAAGATAAGTATGTCCTGGGCAGTAACGTGCAGCATGAGGACTACAGTTTATGATGCTGTACTGTATATTTGAAAGTGGCAAAGAAAGCAGATCTTAATGGTTCTCATCACAAGAGAAATATTTCCTGTAATTATGTGTGGTGATAGATGGAAGTTAAGTAAACTTATTGTGATAATCATTTCTCGATATATATATATGTATATATATATATATATATTCTAAATCATGACACTGTATATCTAGAACTCATACAGTATATATATCAGTTACATCTCAATTAAAGAAAATAAAAACAGAAACAATGACAAAGAGAAAATAATAAAAGCAGGTGTAGAGAAAAAGACACATTATATGCAGAAGCATAATAAAGATGACGGGTTTTCCTAGCGAAAACAATGCAAGCTAGAAACTAGCAGAGCAACATTTTAGAGTCCTAAATGCAAAACAGTATGGAATTCTAAACTCAGTGAAAATATTCTTCAAAAACAAAGGTAAAATATACTTTTATATACAAAAGCTAAAACAACTTGGCATCAGCAGACCTACAGGTCAAGATAGGTTAAAAAAAAGTCCTTTAGTCACAAAGAAAAATGGTACAATATGAAAATCACATTAAATTATGTAAATAGACCAAACACCTTATTTAAAAAACAAATTATCTGACCAAACAAAAGGAAGACCCAACTATATGCAGCCAAAAGATATCAACTTTAAAGATACTGATAGCGGTGTCTTGGTGGCTCAGTGTTTGACTCTTGATTTCAGCTCAGGTCATGGTCTCATGGTTTGTACAGTCTCCCCTGTACTGGGCTCTGTGCTGACAGCATGGAGCCTGTTTGGGATTCTCTTTCTCCCTCTTTCTCAGCCCCTCTCCTGCTCTGCCTCTCTCAAATTAAAAGAACAAAAAACAAAAAAAACAATAACAAGATATTGATAGATAAAAAGCAAGGATGGAAAAAGATAAACCACGTAACTCTAACAAAAGATAAAGTGGATTTTTGAATAAAGATTACCACCAAGGATAAAGAAACTCATTAATAAAGGTAAAGGGATCAATTCATCAAGAGGACAGTATAATCCTACATGTTATACACTTGAAAATAGAGCTTTAATACACATGAAGTAGAGGTAACTGGATGGCTCAGTCCGTTGAGCATCTGACTTTGACTCAGGTCATGATCTCACTGCTCGTGGGTTTGAGCCCCGTGTCAGGCTCTGTGCTGAAAGCTCAAAGCCTGGAGCCTGCTTTGGATTCTGTGTCTCCCTCTCTCTCTGTCCTTCCCCCAGTTGCACTCTGTCTCTCTCTCTCAAAAATGAATAAATGTTGAAAAAAAAAACCTTAAGGGGTGCCTGGGTGGCTCAGTCGGTTAAGCATCTGACTTCGGCTCAGGTCATGATCTCAGTTTGTGGGTTCGGGCACTGCGTTGGGCTCTGTGCTGACAGCTAGCTCAGAGCCTGGAGCCTGTTTCAGATTCTGAGCTCCCTCTCTCTCTGACTCTTCCATGCTCACGCTGTCTCTCTCTTAGAAATATGTAAAAACATTAAAAAAAAAAATTAAACACATGAAGTATAAAAACTACAAGGAGAAATAGACAAATCTGTGATTATAGTCAGAGATATCAACATCCTGCTCTCAATAATTAATAGAAAAAGTAGACAAAAATCACCTAAATTATAGACGACTTATCACTTAGCAACCAATTAAGTTAAAATAATTACATCATTAGGTTAAAATCATTATTTTCATTTGGTGGTTTCATGAGGGTACTCAATATGTCAAAATTTACTAATTTGTACATTATAAATATATACATACAAGTTTTTTAAAAGCATTAGTTATACAATAAAGCTGTTAAAAAACCTCAATGTAGGGGTGCCTGAGTGGCTCAGTCAGTTAAGCAGCCAACTCTTGATTTCAGCTCAGATCATGATCTCATGGTTCATGAGATCGAGCCCTGTGTCAGGCTCTGCACTGATGACATAGAGCCTGCTTGGAATTCTTTCTTCCTCTCTCTCTGCTCCTCTTCTGCTTGTGCTCTTTTTTTCTCTCTCAAAATAAATAAATAAATAAATAAACATAAAAAAACCCCAACTCAATGTAAATCAGACTTTTTGAAACACTTCTATTATAATCACTGAACATCAAAGAGTTAACAAAAGAATGAAAAAAAAAAAAAAAAAAGAACCAGAATTTCCATACCTGGTGAATACTGGAAGTTGGGACTGAATGACCTGAACTCTAATCACAACAAGTAATAGTGTACTGAACATCAAAACAATTAGTTTTATTAGTGTCTGCAGCATAGAAAATGGAATACTACTCTTTCCACGGAAAAACTGTCCGGCAGTAGTACATAATAATGGCAAAGTATACTGCAAAAGACAAAAAAAAAAAAAAAAAGTTTTAAATAACAATACGTTTGAACAATGCAGTACATTCAAAATGCAAGATTAGATATAAATTGACTAATTATAAAATCAGTATGGAGCAATTTGTGAAACTGATAATGAATAAAATGGAGTCCAATAATCTTATCCAATAATGAATCATACTGGACAGTATTATTATGTACATTTCCAAATTACCTAATGTTTCCATTATTGAAACTGAAAGAATAGTCTTAAAAAACTGAAGGAGATATAAAATGTTAAGTAATTTTCAGTGGATATGAGGACAAAATATGCCAGTTTCTTGCAAATTTTTGGTATTGTTACTGGTAAAGAGACCAATATATATAATGACAAATTTAGAAGACAAGTTTATTATCATCAAATTCAAATAGGATAAAAGACAGCAACAATAAAAATTGTATTTCTCCTTACCCCCTGGGCAATAAATACTTCATACACACAGCAAATTCCCACAACTGTTATTCCTTGTTCTTTACACAATGTTGCAACAGCAACTAAAACCACTGTCAAAGCAATTGGAGTCCATACTGCAATCAAGAACAGAAAAATACAAAACTACACAAAACAATTTTATTGTATCATTAACAGATATTTTAAGTTATACAACTTTTAGACATTATTAAAAAACTCATGATTCTGTATTCATATTTCTGTTATTTCCCATTAACCTATACTTATTTCAAAATGTATTTAAATGTTGTGATTTTTGCTTTACATACTCAAAACAGAACACTGAAATGTATAACTTAAACTAAAAAATTTTTGTAGAGAGGGAAATTATCAAATGAAATGTTTTTTAAAAAATTTATTTATTTATCTTGAGAGAGAGAGTGTGCACGCATGCATGCACACACACAGGGAGGGGCGGAGAGAGAGAAAAGGAAGAGAGAGAGACTCCCAAGCAGGCTCCCTGCTGTCAGCGCAGAGCTTGATGGAGGGTTCAATCTCAGGAACCCTGAGATCATGACCAGAGCCTAAATCAAGAGTCGAACCACCCAGGTGCCCTGAAATACTAATTTTTGAAATTAGGTAGGGTGGTGAGGTTGGAGAAGGGAAATTTAAAGGCTGGAGTGTCATTATCAATGAACTATGTATATGAAATGAAGGCAAATTCTTTAAATTATACAGACATCTATATGTTTTATTATCTCTGTAATTTATTAAAACCTTCAAACTGAAAACTGAGCAAAGTAGAGTAACATTCTTATTTTAAAAGGAGTATAAAAACTGAAATCGATTAATAGAATTTAAATTAATACTATTCTTAAAAAAAACTTGCATTAGAGGGCCACCTGGATGGCTCAGTAAGTTAAGTGTCCAACTCTTGGTGTCAGCTCCAGTTATGATCTCACAGATTTGAGGGTTCAAGCCCTGAACTGGGCTCTGTGCTGGTAGTGCACAGCCTGCTTGGGAGCCTCTCTCTCTCCCTCTGTCTCTGTCCCTCCCCTTCCTGCACTCTCTTTCAGAATATACACATATACTTAAGAAAATTTGCATTAGAATATTCGTAAGTTTTACTTAAATAGAAAACCTACTTCATCAACTTTAAGCAATATCAACTATTTAGTAGTAATAATTTGATTAAAAAAGAATGAATTGTGAGAGTACTTCTGAGAGTAATTTGCTTTATGACTTTGGGCAACTCTTCTGAGCTTTAGTTCTCCTACCGTAAAATATGACCTCCAATTCTTTTCTAGTTAAAAAACCATATTATAGTATAATTGTGTGACCTCAGGTTTATTAAGAACATTAATCAGAGCAAAATCTCAAATGATTGACTTAAATCCAAGTATAAATAAAAATACAATTTATGAATCTGATATATTTTCTTTTGTTGTGTGGCTTAATACAGAAATTCATTTATTTTTGAAATTGTTTTCAACTTTAAAATATCTACCAATTAAAATTACTGAAAGAAAACAACTCAAAAAACCTTGAAACACTATTGGAGATATTCTGTATAACAGTATTCCCTTCCTCAAAAAAAATTTCATATTACAGTCAGATCAAAACTATCAATAACAAAAGTAGTAAATTATACCAAGGAATGAAATATCATGCTATCCATAAGAAATTCATACAGGAAAGATCAGTAGGTAATTATTTACAAAATAAGCTGAACCTAAAGTTGAACCTTAAAGATATATACACGGGAAACCCGGGGAAGAGGTACGCATGAATAAAGAGGAGGAGGGAATAAGCTTGGCAAATAAATGATATAGAGAATAGTATGAATGGATGTGTATGAATATAAAAAAAATTAGTGGGAAATAATGGCCTTGAAAAGATATTTAAAAAAATACACCAAACGGTTTATATAACCAGTTTAGCATATTTTGAGTTTCAAAATCACTCTAATGGGATATGAGAGAGATGTAATCATATGCATTTTAAGATGAAAGAATTTTAGAGGTCTAAAAAAACAGTCATGCACTCTTAAAGAAATGAGGACTCTTAACCTGACTCTTCCAACATTAAATTCAGAGCTTCTCACTAGTTTGTAATTCAGCTCTAAGACAGAGAATACAAACAGTTGCATTCTTTAATGCTGGATTCAATCTCAACAATTAATAGCTCCAACAAAGGCAAAAACTTTACTGAAACTAGTCACTTCAGTTCTACAACTTTTGGCAATTATATTACTATAGGAACATGTACTTTGATTTTATAAACAGGTCTCTAGGGTTAAGGTTACCACATGTGATTTTTTCTAAAACAAGTCCCCCTGCTAGATACACTAACAACACTTAAAAAATATACATATATAAATACAGAATCAATTTCACTCCTTAACATTCATTCCAACTTCAAAATACAGGTTTGTAAACTGATTTTTACATGTGTGAAGATACAAACCTTTAGCAGTCACATATTCAAATAGTTAAGTATCTACTATATTTTGTGGAGAAGATAATAAATAAACAACTAAAGATATATTTGTCAAATGGTGACCTAAGTGTTATATTATAAGGAAAAACAGAAGGTGAAGGGAAATAGAAAGGAATGGTGGTGCTGCTGATGACCTCTGAGCAGAAACCCAAAGAAACAGAATGGAGCAAAGGTCCTGAGGTGGATCATGCTTTACAAATGGGTAAGGGTGATGAATAGCTCAGAATTTAAAGTGATCAAATAATTACAAATTGAAAATCTTTGCAAGGACATATACATTAAGCACCAAATCAAGAGATGATGACAAAACTGTTTATGGTCTCAAGTGTAAAATTATGTTATATGGAATATGAAGTACTATGGAAGTACTATGATAGACAGAGGTCCAAAGCAGGTTCAGCATTTTTTTAAATTAGAATTTAATTGGTGACTTGGTCATTTGCTCAACAAATATACACTGAACACTTACTATATACTAGGAAACATTCCAGGAAACAGATAGAAACCTACCTATATCACAAATCTAAGATGACACTAAAGGTGTTTGGCTAACTCAGTTATTTCTTGAAACTTAGTTTCCATTAATATAACATTAGACCGCTTATCATCAGTACTTTGGGTTTATAGTGTGAAAATTCTCTAACAACGTAGGGAAAAAATCAGAGTTAAATTTTAAGATCAACCAAATAAAAGGTTACTATTATGGAAAGCCTCTTTCATGCCTACTGTTCCCATATCTAGAAAATCATTTTTATTGCCTGGAACTTGTTTTCTGATAATACCTGGCATCACTAGGATTAATGAACTAATGTGACAAAAAAATTTCCAGGGTGGGCCACATGGTAGGGACTCAATAAATAGCTGAGCTATGATCAACACCTAATAAAAGTTATATTCCAATAGGCTTTCAACGTATCTACACAATACAATTCACAACCTTCACAGGTGTTATTATAGAAAGACAACTGAAATGTTGGTACTTGTGTGTTTGATAGGTAACAACAGATAGAACTAGGGTAAATTTTTTAAATTATATCAAATACAAAATCTGTTCATCATGATAAAATATAAACTGCATGCAGAAATAATTGTTACTATTGACAACGTTGCATATCATGTTCATACGTCCATAGGTGCTGACGTAGTATAATATATAAAGATAGAGCCAAGTGTAACATATATTTTATAAGAAATGGAATAAATAAAAATTGATTATCAAGTTTTATGTCTATAGAAAAAAATAAACATTAGACACTTACCTATGGAATTATCTGGTCCTTTTGATTTAGTATATGACAAAAATGCAGCTAGAAAAAAGATAGATGACAAAAGTTCTGCTCTTCCTACAACACCAGTTACCTAAAAAGGGAGAGGGAGAGGACGAAGGGTTCATCTTAATGACGAGCCTCATGAAAATTTAAGTACCATATATAATAGGAACAGCACTTTAGAAATTAAATTGCCATAATTTTTCAAGCACACGTTTCAGTTTCTTAGACATTCTTTGAGTGCCCTCATGTGGTTAATCTGTGTATCTTCCATAAAAATAAATTTACCAGTGACTATAATAGTTCTTTTATTATCATCACTATTTTCAAATAATTACAGACTCACTGGAAGTTGCAAAAATAAGTACAGAGAAGTCCTGTGTACCATTTACCCAGCTTCCATCAACAATAACTTCTTATATAATATTAGTACAATATCTAGAGTAGCTGTTAATAAAAAAACCTAAGACCTTCTTACATATTTTCTTAAAATACAAGTGTTTTTAAAATATAAAAACATCATAAATCCAATAAGTTCTATCTCAAAATAAACTTTTAAAGATAATGAGCTTAAAAAGTCCTTTTAAACTCTAAAAATTTAATATAAAGCACTAAAACCTCTTCCTTTTAAAGTATGTCTGAGTGCCTCAGTCAGTTACATCGACTGCTGATTTTGGTTCAGGTCATGATCTCTGTCGTTAGTGCAGAGCATATGTGGGATTCTCTCTCTGTCCCTCCCTCACTCACATGTATACATTCTCTCTTCCTCTCAAAATAAAAAGAGGCCAGTGTAGGAAAAGTTTGGGGGCACCGTGGTGGCTCAGTCAGTTAAGCACTGACTCCTGATTTTGGCTCAGGTCATCTCTGCATCTCTCTCTGCATCTCATCTGTGTAGCCCTTGCCCTGCTCACACTCTCTCTCAAAATAAATAAACTTAAAAACAAAGTACTCTTGGGTGGCCTGGGTGGCTCAGTCAGTTAATTGTCAACTTTGGCTGAGGTCATGACCTCGTGGTCCATTAATTTGATCCCAGCATCTGGCTCTGTGCTGACAGCTCAGAGCCTGAAGCCTGCTCTGGATTGTGTGTCTTCCTCTCTCTCTCCCCTCCCCCACTTGCACTCTCTCTCAAAAATAAACACTTAAAATTTTTTTAAAAAATAAAAGAAAAAAAGTACTCTGAATTCACTGAAAAATTTAAAACAGCCTATGCTTTTTGTAAACATATTGAAAAATCTGTTCAATTAGACATAAGAAGGATCAAAACAGTGACAGAGATCTACACACCATTTATAATATACACACACCCCTTCTAATACACACGCACATTCAAACACTTAAGAGTTGAAACATAACACATTTTTGCTTACAACCAAAAGCTCGTAACAAAGCAATTAAATAGAGTCCTCTTTGCTCTGCTGTGAGGCAATTTCGGGGGTTTACTGTTTTCAAGAAAAATAAAGTTATAGTTTAAGTATGACTTGGGAGGTAGGGTCTGACAGACATATTGGCAACAGCAGAGACAGCTCACAATTTGAAACACATGGCAAAAGACAACATGAAGATACTGGGTCTCATCATTTGTTAGGATGTGTTTATGTTTACATATATTTTGATACATTTTCTTCCTTTACTTAAATTTGCCTTATTAAGTATTTCCTATTCTTTGAAACACAATGGCAAGTTGACAAATATTTTTAATCTATATTCATAAAAAACAATTAGGAAAAAAAGAACTGTATTCATTTATATTACATTACTAATCTTGAGCAATTATATCTTCTATCCTTAAAAAATAAATGTTTATGTTTCAAAACTTGTTTTAAATTTAAAAATTTTATGTAGTATGAAGTTATTAGACTCTGTAGATTAGAAAGACTTATACTAATTTAAAAATCTTTAAATATTTGAATTAAAGCCACAGTTAAATTTTTTCTTAAAAACATATATTATGTAGGCTTTGTTGAAAAAAAAGAAAAGAAAAAAATTTAGTTTTACTTACTGCTTCTGTGTGTATTGGGTGCACTGCAAAAAGTAAAGAAGCAATCACACTACTCCTGTTGTCCAGAAAAAGCTTACAGACTTTAAGAAATATCACACTAACCACAGCATGAAAAATCATATTTAGGAGATGATACGACATTGGTTTCAGTTCACTAAACAGATAATTTAAGCGAAATGTCAGCACTGTTAAGGGTCGGTAAGACTTGTGGCTTCTCTCCTGAAAGGAAAAAACAATCATCATCATTAAAATATCATGGTCCTTCAGGGCACATAAACTAATTGTTGTGTTTACTGTTGAAACTAGCAATAAAATAATGAAATAAATACTCCAAGGGTAACACAAATATAAACTACAGCTTTATAATCTGTGTTTCTCTATTTCCTTAGTCCCAAAACAATGCAATTTCCTTTCCTAAATATAATGAAGAATCAACAGTAGAGGGAGAACATTTTACTTTTAACTTCTCTTCAACACACAAATTTAAAAAAAAAAGGGGGGGGGGCTACCTGGGTAACTCAGTTGGTTGAGTGTCCAACTCTTGATTTCAGCTCAGGTCATGAGCCCAGTGTTGTGGGATCAAGCCTTGCGTGAGGCTCTGTACTGAGGGTGGAGCCTGCCTAAGGTTCTCTCTCTCTCTCTTTCTCTCTCTGCCCCCACTCTGTCCCTCTCCCCCCTCTTGCATGCTCTCACTAAAAATAAAAATATAAAATAAAATAAAAATATAATAATAGCACTGATCAAATTAAAATAAAGGACTCTTTCCAAAGCCTATATCCTCATCTATACCAATACCAGCATTTATAAAACTGGTGGCTAGGTCTTCTGAAGGAAATATAAGAATAGAATGCTTACTAGTGCAGTTTAAATTGTGAAAACTCAAAATGACACTGTCTAGTTGTTTTACGAAAAATACCTTTGTAATGTATACCTGAATATATTAAGCCAAAAAATCCCCAAAACCTCCACAGAGTAATACAAGAGCAAAAACTTTCTTAGAATTTGAGAACAGATACCTTTGTTCTAATAGTCTCTACTGGCAAGAAATCAAATTTTACATGAAGTTGCTGAATTTCTTTACAAACTGGAAGGTTCACTTAACCAGAAAAATTTTATCATAAGGCAAAATCAAACCAGATTTAAGAATAAAACACACAGGTCAAATTACATAAAATATTATCTTAGCTATTTTTTGTTAATTTTATGTAAGAATATTCAAACTCAGCTTCTTTGATCTCATATCTCTTACCATATTTTGCTGGGACTCTTGTATTATACCTGTAAGCTTTTCATCCATACTAGGGAACGTGAAGAACCACAAAGAACAAGTATTTCTCAGTTTGAAAATAGGAATATTTTAGTATCTCCGTACTGACTACACACACCATGAGCATGGTCTACTTAGAATGTTCTTTGCTGCTTAATTTCTGTACATCATTTGATTTAGCTCAGGAAGACAAAACTTTTTAAGGCACTATAGTGAACTGACATGATTTGTATCCAAAAGCAAAAAAAAGGTTCTAGAAACCTTTTGAGAGCCTAAAACATTACTCTAGTTCCACTGAGGCATATGTGCCAGCTGGAATGGATGAAGTCTGAAAATGCAAGGGGAACAGGTTATTTTTAACTGTAATATACATGACTGCTTCACTAGGTCTATCAGATAACCATAGGTAATGGCCAATTAAAAAATAGCTTAATTATTAACATAACTAATTACAGTAAAACCCTGGATTGCAAAAGTAATTCTTTCTGTAAGTGTTCTGCAAAAATAAGCCAGTATTTCTAATAAATTTTAACTTGATAAAAGAGCAACATCTTGCAATAGTAATAGGTGACATTGAGAGTCACGTGATCATGACTGAGCCAACGGTTCTCTCTCTTTCTCTCTCTCTTGCTGTGGAATTGTGGGTGGTTGTCTCCCATGCTCAGATGCTTGATCTCAGGCTGGCTGGCAGAAATCAGTGATGTTTCAGAACTTTGGAAGGTGGCCACAAGTGGCACTAATGTACTTTCTGTCACTTCAAAGCACCTATGTACAGTGCTTTGCTTTTCTATACAAGAGTAAACTAAGGAATGCTTTGCTTCATTCTAGGTCAGGCTGCCAGCAGATACAGACCTTTTCCTCTGTTGCCTTATTGCCAGTTTCATTAAATACATTACATTAAATATAACAAGAGCTTATTAATACTGTATTGTAGTCAGTATATGTGCAAACATACACAATGGCCCCCATGCAGAAAAAGGCTTTAAAGAAAGATGTTGAGAAGATGGAGATGATTACAGTAGACTTTAAGAAGAAAATCACTGAGTACAAATGAGGCGTGCAAGTGGCCAAAATTGTAAGATTTTATGGGAAGTCTACATCTGCATCTCGTCTGCAGAGGAGTAGGAGAAAAAGATGGAGGAATCTTTCATCAAATGAGTTTAGGGAGACTTGTAAAATGTGGAAACAGTGCAAAATTCTATAGAAATGCTACACCTGAATAAGGCTGTAGCAGTGCGAGTGATGAACCTGTTTAATGATAATGCAATGTCACATTTCCACGAATCCTCAAAAGGAGGCAAAATCAAGTGCCAATGGATAGGCTCCTTGCTAAAGTTGCACAGAAAGAGAAAGATTCCACTGAGCCAATAGACAGCAGTGATTCCCTTAGTGATAGCGAAAGATGTCCTATACAATAAACCTTTTCTCTCATCTCCCTCACACCAGCCACTAAAGTTTTCAAAGGTAAGTGCAAGTTAATTTGTTTTGCTTTATATTTCATATTTTCTTAATTTTGTATTATATTACAGTATTATAATCATTTTCATATGAATATTTTTGGGTTGTGGAATAAATCATCTGAGTTTCCGTCATTTTTTGTGGGGAAATTTGCTTTGATATGTAAGTACTTTGGATTACAAGCATGTTTCCGGAACAAATTATGCTCACAAACCAATGTTTCACTGTATTCACACAATTCATTAGTAATCTAAGATACTACTATGACAAATAATCATTAGCATAATAGGTAACAGATTTACTCTGTCAAAGTACAGTAAAACAGCTAGTTCTATTACAAGTAAAACAATATAGATTATTATTAAATTCAGGTATATTAAAGAGAAAACTTAATTGCTCATAGTATTAGGTGGCAGTAAAAACAAAACCATGAATATGAGTGAATTAGCTGACAGTTCCCTGTTAATGTGAATATCCATATAGCAATGGCAATACATAGTGCTATGTGATTATTTGCAAATGTTACCTTAAGATAGATATTTTGTAGGCCAATGCCAGAAGAGACTGGCTCATTATAGCTCAGTGGTTCTCAACCATGGCAGCACTGGAGAATCATTTGGATAATTTATACCCAATCCTCTACTCCCCAAAAACCCCAGAAAAATAAAAAAGCGAACACACACAAAAAGAACAAGACAAAAATATTGATGGTTACATCCCATTCTGAGCTAACTGTAACTAACAAGTTTGAGTAGAGCCTTGGTAACATTTTTTGAGTGCCCCAGGCAACTATAATACGTTGCTAGATTTATAATCCACTGAACCATTCAAAACCAGAGTATTACATATTTTAAGAATGGGTTTGTTAAAGAGATGACCTAAACACTGTGAAGCCAAGAGGAATTTAAAGATCCCTACTGTACCAGTATTCATACAGCTCAGGAAAATGTTCTCAGCCTAAAATGTCTTTAAGCTCTACACTGGCACAAAAATCCTTATAAAGGTTTGGGCATCTGCACACAGGCTTCTAGCCTATCAGTACTTAATGACATCAACCATTAGATCATTGAATGTGCTAATTCCAGGCTTGTCAAGAAAACATATAATACGTAAATACTACTCAGAATAATTTCTCCCTAGTGGCAGGTTTCCCAACAGGGAAACAGGAAAAGATTATGCCCATTGGAAAACAGGAGAAAGCAACAATCTCTGTCATATATTGTTATTCTAATTTGTTCATTTTTGTCTGAGTTTATTATTATGAGTATTTTCTTAGTGTGTCCACTTATAGATGCTCTGAACAAAATCAAATTTTCAGTCTGTAAAGCTGAGAAAGTCACAAGACACACTATTGACACCAAGGTATGATAACTTTCATATACTTTTAATCTGGCCAGCGAGACTTTTAGTTTAAAATCTCAATGTCATGATTAAAATCATAACAGGTACTAGCTTAAGTTGTGGGAACGGACACATATTTCTAAGGGTCTCAGGGCATAAAGGGTAGGGGTAAAAGGAAATAAACTGCCTAGAAAATAATGTAACTTATTACAGAATCATATTTTTTCCTCATTACCAAATATGTATTTCTTTTAAAGGCTAGAATTAGGTGAGAAAAGGAAGGTTACAAGAAAATAAAGTCTGGTATTTAACAAGAATAAATACTTATGTGCTTGTGACTAAAGGAATAAGAGACTTCATCCCCACCCTGGAGAAACTTCCATGTTTAAAATGTGCAGAAAGGAGCCACAAATGACAACTAATAAACTATAAAAGAGTGTTATGTTATGAGGCTTGCACCAGTGCTATAGATTAATTTATTTATCTTTAAGGTATTATTCTTTTATAGGTTAAATCTTTTATAGATCATACCATCCAAAAGCTGTATTCTCACCAATTTCATAGTTATTATATAATAGAACAGCAGGATCCAATCCATGTGATCCCACACTGACAAGAGTTTAATCCCAAACAGTTTACAATGACTCTCAAAATAACCTTACTGGCAGAATAAAAACAATCTCATTAAAACTAACTAGCATTTGAGTTCTCAATATAAAATAACTATTAGGTAAGAAATATGATACAAATTTAAAAATTTCTGTGGGGGCAGGGAACCTCAATACCTTTACCCTTAATGTCTAATCTATTCAGGGGAGCCTGGGTGACTTAGTTAAGCATTCACTCTTGATTTCGGCTCAGGTCATCATCTCACAGTCGGTTAGTGAGATCAAGCCCCATGTCAGGCTCACTGCAGACAGCACAGAGCCTGCCTGGGATTCTCTCTCTCTCTCTCTCTCTCTCTCTCTGCCCCTACACTACTTGTGATTGTGCAAGTGCACACATGCACTGTCACTCTCAAAAAAAAAAAGGTCTAATCTATTTATATTGAAGTCACATATTTTTAGATGGTTAAATATATCCAAAGTGGTCATCTCTTTGGCCTGAATCTCAGAAAAAGAGAAAATCAGCAAGAAATATATTTCTTTACACTTACTAGTATCCTAATACATTTGGTCTTAACACACATATATTATTTTTAAAAAGATTAAACCAAAGTATACAACTAAGGAAAGAACCATGTATTGCTTTAAAGAAGATAACCATATCTTCAACTTCCTATCTAACATACAAATTTTTGGGAAACAAATTCATAAATGCTATGATGACAATGTTGATAAGAATTTAGAGTAATAAACTACTGGAATAATTTAAATCTGAGATACATATAAGCAATAAATAACTACTTACCTCAGACATAGGGGTTCCCCAGAAGTCATTTTGAAATAAAGTTTTTAAAGGTGTAGATGGATGCAGGTCTTTATTATCCAGTATTGCTGAAACATCATCAAAAACAAAACCACAAAAGAGGCTGTTCCAATAGCAGGCAGTAACCACCCCTACTATTAAGGTTACTTCTTTGAGGTTAATATCAGCCATCTTTTCCACAAGCACTTATAGATAAAATCTAGGGGAGGAAATCATGAATATAAAATAAGTATCATTTTTTTTCAAGTAAGTAAAATTTTAAGAGAAGGATAAATAAAATAGGGAATGCTAATTCTCCTAGAGAATTAATTTTTCAAAGCTCAGCACAAATGTCATCTACCTCTAAAAAGCATTAGCTGCCCACCCTCTTCTAATTTCTAACTTAAAACAAAATTAATTGTTCCTTCATGTATTTCACACCTCTATTACAATCCTTTATCACACCACTTAATCTCTGGATTTATATCTCTAGCTAACTAGACAGTGAATTCCTTACAAGTCGTCGTCACAGGTCAGGTTACTCAGGGAAACAGATACGAATACAAAAGAACTAAAAAGAACTTAAAAAAAAAAAAAAACAATTAGTATGGTGTACTCCAGGAGTAGTAAATAAATCTTTGTGAGAAGAATAGTAAATAAATTTTCATGGGAAAACAAATATTTGAAAAAACACTGAACACGGATTTTCTGAAATGTATACTGAAGCTTCTATTTCAGTACTTAATATACCAGAAGATCAACTATTACCTAAATCAGGTGTCCAAACATGCAGCCTGCACCCTTGGTTTGGTTAAACTTTTTAAACATATCTGTCTTAAATGTCTCTAAAGGCATTCTAAGCCTAAGCTAGCTGTATACTAGCCATTTAAGTATAGTCTCCTTGTCTTTAACTCTGACTTGTTTGACTGATTTATTATCTGGCCCATTAAGCTTAAATCCCAGTTCTAAATAGTGTTTTTCTCTTTACAACAAGTGATTTTAATTTAGAGAATGGGCTTCACACATGAAAATTCATAATTAAGTCATTGCATTAGAAATGATTCAGTAAGGGGTTCCTGGGTGGCTTAGTCGATTAAGTATCCAGCTCTTGAGTTCAGCTCACACCACGTATCTCATGGATTCATGGGATCCAGCTCCGTGTCCGGCTTTCCACTGACAGCGCAGAGCTTGCTTGGAATTCTCCCCCGGACTTCCCAGCCCACCCCTCCGCCCCTCCTGGTTCCTGCTCTCTAAATATAAGTAAATAAACACATTGTTTGTTTGTTTTAATGTTTTATTTATTTCTAGGAGAGAGAGAGAGAGAGACAGCATGAGCAGGGGAGGGCCAGAGAGAGGGAGTCACAGACTGAAACTGGCTCCAGGCTCTGAACTGGCAGTCAGCACAGAGCCCGACACGGGGCTCGAACCCACGAACCACGAGATCATGACCTAAGTGAAAGTCGGACACTTAACCGACTAAGCCACCCAGGCGCCCCAAACACATTGTTTTTTAAAGAATTGATTCAGTGAGAGAATGGTTGAGTAAAAGGAATCATAATAACTGGATGATACTGAAGAATCAGCCCTGCAATTAAAATAAGGTTGGAGGGTACTTTTGAAAAACAAGCTGACGATATACTTTTTTAGCTTGAGTAGCATCATTAGTATCACTTTAGTGCCATCATTTGTGGAAGACAAAACTATGCCTCCCGCCCCGCCCAAACTGTCCACATCCAAATCCCCTGATCCTGTGACTATGGTACCTTACATGGGAAAAGAGACTTTACAAGTTGTGACTAAATTGAGGGTTTTGAGATGAAGAGATTATATCCTTAATTATCTGGTGGGCCAATTCAATGAAAAGAAACCTTACAAGTTAAAAAGGGAGGCAGAAGAGTCAGAAAAGCAGAGATCAGAATGGTGTAATGGCAGGCTAGGCCCACAAGGCAAGGAATGATGGCAGGTTTCGGAAGGTGGAAAGGCAAAAAACCCACCTTCTTTATAAGAGATTCTAAAGGGACCACAGCCCTACTAACACCTCAATTTCAGTCTAGTGAATCCCATTTTGCATGTCCATAGTTATAAAATAATAAATTTGCTGCGGCACCTGGGTGGCTAAGTGTGTCAAGTGTCCAACCAGCTCAGGTCATGATCTCACAGTTCATGAGTTTGAGTCCTGTTTTGGGTTCTGTGCTGACAGTTTGGAGCCTGCTTCGTATACTCAGTGTCTCCCTCTTTCTGACCCTCCCCCACTCATGTTGTCTCTCTCTTCTCAAGAATAAGCCTTAAAAAAATTAAAAAATAATATAAAAAAGTTTTGTTATTTTAAGCCAGGTTTGTGGTAATTTGTTATAGCAGCAAGAAGAAACTAATACATCACTCACAGAGCCAGAAGACGTAAGGCCTGATATATTATGTGTAGGAGTTCTGGCTAGATCAGAGAGGAAGAATACAGTAGGGAGAGCAGAGAGAGATTTAAAATCAGATGTAAGTTTATATAGGGATACACACACAAGCCTATTAAAGTGCCTTTAGAATCAGATAGAAAAACCTTAGAATATATTTACACTTAAAGAAATGCAAAATCCGGGGTGCCTGTGTGGCTTAGTAGGTTAAGCATCCGACTTCGGCTCAAGTCATGATCTCACAGTTTGTGGGTTTGAGCCCTGCGTCGGGCTCTGTGCTGACAGCTAGCTCAGAGACTGGAGCCTGTTTCAGATTCTGTATCTCTCTCTCTCTCTTTCAGAAATATGTAAAAAACATTTAAAAAATGCAAAATCCAACCCTACTTATCACCAAAGGAAATTAGTAGTACCTCTTGGTGCTTTAACTAAAAGAAAAATTATCTAATGGTTTATCTTGAGTCTACAAGTGACTTAATCTCTGTAAAGAGTTTGAACTTACACCTTATTATCATAGAAAAAGCTGATACCACTTGTTTAAAGATTGGAGAGACTCAACAGGCATTATTTGCCTCACTCTTTCTCAACTACACACTAAAATAACAATAAAAATATTAAAAGACCAAAAAAGAAAAAAGTGTATAAATTCACAAGGATAGACCATTGGAGAGGCAATCATAGCAAGTTTTGGAAGGTGGAAAAACAAAATTTGGTAAGTGACCTAATAGAGCTCAGGAAAGTGAATCTACAGCTTAAGGTGGAAAACTATAAAGTTTTTTGCATCCCTGCCAGCATCAATCTAAAAACTGGTGACAAAATCTCAAGAAATAGGTTGGAACACATGCATTTGTTAAAATTTAGACCCCTCTCCCATTGAGTACAGGCAAGTAAATTCTCTTCTACAGCACGGCAGAAGATTAGAGATGTTCTTATCTGAAATAGGTGAAATACAAGATGTCTGATACAAGAGACACAAGTGAGAGCAAAGGTAGCAAATTGACGAGGGTTAACCAGAAGTCGGTCTATATATTTTGAGACCCTCCAGCTCTTTTTTACAAACTGGGTACAAAATCCTATAAAATATTACAACTCTGGGAACAAAGAAAAAGGATTCTAAAAATTTCCACAAGGAAAGAAAGCAGGCTCCAGAGCAAAGATTATGAATCCAAACAAATCTTTTTATTTCCACTAACACTGGATGCTAGATTCAGAAGAAAAAGTGAGTAATTCCTCAAATTTCTGAAGGATAATAATTTCCAATCTAAAATTCTATATTAATAAACACAAATCACCCAACAAAGAAAGTAGAATAAAAATATTTTAAGACATTCAAGGTCTCAAAAACTACCTCTGATGCCTCCTCTTCTCAGGAAACTAATAGAAGATATATCCCAATAAAATTAGGGAGTATATTAAGAAACAGAAAGAGAGGGAAATCAGGAGACAGGGGATCCAACTCAAGATAGCAAAAAAGAAATACCCAGAAAAAACCAAAAAAACAAAATAAAACAAAGCAAAAAAAGAAATACTCAGTATGAAAATCACGCAAGCAAGTCCACTAGCCAGTCCACACTTAGGTCAGAAAGTTTTTGTTTTTTTTTTTTAAATTTTTAAAAATGTTTTATTTATTTCTAGGAGGGAGAGAGAGAGAGAGACAGCGTGAGCAGGGGAGGGTCAGAGAGAGAGGGAGACACAGAATCCGAAGCAGGCTCCAGGCTCTGAGCTGGCAGTCAGCACAGAGCCCGACGCAGGGCTCGAACCCACCAACCGTGAGATCATGACCCAAGAGAAAGTCGGACGCTTAACCGACCAAGCCACCCAGGCGGCCCAGAAAGTTCTTGAACAACACTCCCAAGGAGATGTAAACAGAGCACCTAATGTGTGAGAACCATTTTGCTCTTACACTGTGTGTGTGTATGTGTGTATGTATGTGTGTATAACTGTAATTCAGAAAAACAGAACTAAGAACATTCACCATGGGGCAGGTGAAAATCAAGTCTTGTATATGGGTCAGAAACCTCTCTCTCATAAATAATCTCAGGTACCTGACCTGGTGACACTGGGGTTCTTACCCCAAACTGCTGTTTGTTAAACTGCTATTTGGTTAAATGTTCTCAGCAGAGGAAAAATTGAAATTAAGAGGAAAAAGGAGTAAGTTAAACCTGTGGTTTTACTACTTCACAGTTATAACTGAGAATAAGATGTATTTGATTATTAGCATACTTATAATGTTTAACAGAATCTGACATACTGTAGACTCTTGACATATTAACTTCAAAAATAATTTAAAATGCAATTTTACCTGATACAATGATACATATAATATACATGATATTAAATTATTGACCATGCAGTTTGTGGATTTAGGCTTTTTAGTTGAAAAATATAATAATTTAGCCAAGTTTACGAATAGTATTGGAACTTTTGTAAGGACTTGGGAGTTGCTATAGTTTTAAGTTTAATTTACTAGGTTTATACAAATTGTTTTAAGTACTGAGAAAGTTTTGCTTTTTAAGTCAGGTGTCTTAAGTCTTTGAGTAAAAATAAGGCTCAGTTGGTTAAGCATCTGACTTCGGCTTAGATCATGATCTCATGGTTTTTGAGTTTGTGCCCCACATCTGGCTCTCTGCTCTCAGCATAGAACCTGCTTCAGATCCTCTGTTCCCCCCTCCCCCGCCCCTTTTCTGCTCCTGCTCTCTCTCAAAAACAAACATTAAAAATAATAAAAATACCTTAAAATCATAAATGCAATTTTAAATTAAGGCAATTTAATCACGTTTTAAATGTAGCTAAGGCATTTAGTACCTTCAATTTAAGTTGTATAGAAAAAGGGGAAGGCAGTGTATGTAAGTTTACACTTACACTTAAAGTTAAGGACTTTAAGGCTGAATTTAAAGGTTTAAAAAAACATGAGGTTATAAAATGTTACTTTAAGAAACTTGGAAAGATGCAAGCAGTTTAACTCAGTAATTGAAATGCTCAGTTCCAACATAATAATCAAAACTCTCAACTTGATTTAACTTTGGGGATTGTCCTCTGTTCCAAGCTCCGGCTCACTGCAAATGAGAAGCCTCATGACATGGAAACGGAGTTCTATGGTTCTCTTTCTTTACTTACAGAGGACAGTACCTTACATACTTGTTGAACATAAAGAAAGGAAAATAAAAATGCTTACTTGGCCACGATATCAAAGATGAGATTCTCATAGGTTTGTACCATCTACCCTTCTAAAAATCCAATAGTACCACTGTGGGGGAAAAAAAAAACCTACAGGAAAATTTTATTTGAATCTGGGAATATTTAACTTGGAAAGTAGAGTTCTCTCAGTTCGATAATTTCAGGATTTTATCTTTTTCAATAAGAATAATCAATATTTTATGATTATTTTAAAGTGTATGAAACTTTGGCCTGCAAAGTTTGTGAAGTCTGTATTTCTGACTCCTAATCTTTCCAGTCTTCTCATGTCAAAAGACAAGTGTGGGCTTGCTGCACACTGAGCCCTCTCTCCTACAACAGACCAAAATGAAACATTTTATACACAGTGGATACTAACTTTCTCATGGCCATAGCTTTATTATAGATGCTGGAAAATAAGCTACCACTCACTTTCTTGATAAGCAGCAAAAAAGGGAATGGAAGTAACATCTGAACAAAATAAGTAGACTGATACAGGCAACAGAGGTAGCAGTTACAAATGGGGCGTCTTTCCTGTGAAATGATTTTGGTTAGATAAATCTGCTCATAAAACCAGAGAGCAGACAGAGGGCAGGTCCAGGCAAGTGTTCCTGTAGTAAGGACATTTATGAAATCATCACATAAATCTCTTCTCTTGGCAAAAATGGAATGATGCAGAAAATGTGAAAAGAAATAGTAAATTTTAGCGATTTTCCTCAAAATTAGAGTGTCTGAAGTAGAACTTGAATTAAATTTCTTGATTCACAGTTACATACAAACATACTACAATGCATTAGGACCTAGACCAAGCAATCTTGTTTCCTGTTGTATCCCCCTTGTCTAGCTGTTGAGGAAGGTTATTGAAAAGATGGGACTGACAAGGGTCCCTGAGTGGGTCAGTCGGTTAAGCCTCCGACTCTTGATTTTAGCTCAGGTCATGTTTGTGGGATTGACCCCACATCAGGCTCTAGGCTGACAGCACAGAGCCAGCTTGGGATTCTCCTTTTCTCTCCCTCTGCCCTTCCCCCACCTGTACACCAAAATAAACTTAAAAACAACAACAACAAACAGATATGACTGCCAGTTGATCTATAAATTGGGCCCAGGTGATCTTCTGTCCCTTCCCCTTGGAATGTGGGTTGTTGCTTTTCATGCAAGCTTTGCTATCCCCAAGTGTACTCCAAGCACATAGCCTTGAGATAATGATAACGGTGTTGAGAACACCTGCACCATACACTTGACTGAACCCAGTTAAGACCTCTCTCTATAGAAACTTTTAAGACTGGGTGGGTGCAGGGCTTCATTAGTCTTTCCACTCCACAGGACAAGCCTCGTAGGTAAGTTCCCTTTACTTAGTGAAACTGCCAACTACCAACCTAGAATGGCCTTCCCCTTTCTTTGGTCTCTCTGCCCTCCATTCGGAAGTTAGTTTCAGATTACACCTGGGAAGCTCCTAAGGAGGTTATAAGCCAATCCTAGGACAGTGGACAAGCTCAAAAATATTGTCAGAATGAGTTAAAAAAAAAAAAAAAAGAAATTTAAGCAAGATTTTGCATTTAGTCAGGACTGTAATTGAGATCTGGGTTACAGTGTTAGATTCATCAGCTATTAGGAAATTACTTAGCTTCTCTGAATCTATTTTCATTTTGAAAAATGAAAATAAAATTTACCATTAGACCAGGTACCTTGAGTTGCTGGGAATATAAATGTGAACAAGAGGATGAGGGGAAGAAAGGGCAGTAAAGATGAAAACAGACAAAACAAGTAAATGAATATATAGAATAATGATGATGAATGAAAAACAAGAAGAAAAACACTAAAATCATATTCTGTGAAAATGAATATGCAGCTTTAAGCACATGATTAGATCTCATCTCTTCCTTGATACATTACGAATTAAAAACTGAACATGAAAAATGTAATTCAAATTCTTGAGTAAATAAAGTTACATCCTTAGAATGGGATAATATTTGCTACAGACAGCAAGACTGAAGCACAGGCACTCCATGGATTCTGGTTCCAGCATGCCTGAGGAGGCAGTATGGCAGTCAAGACAATGTCCTCCAACCAGAAAGATCCACATTCAATCACACTATTTAAGCACAGTATTTCACCCCTCCAAGCCTATGTTTGGAAAACTTAGCTGGAAAATGAGGACAATATTTTGTCCACTGGACTGTGATGAAGAGTTAAGTGAGATAGTGTGACAAACTTAAGAGTAATCGTAAGAGTACAGTATTTGCATAAAATACATAAGATTAATGGAATAAAACAGCCCAGAAATAAGCAAATGACCAATAATATATAACGAAGAAAGGAGAGTCTAATAAGTGGTGTTGGAGAAACTGGTGTGCCAAATGCCAAAGAATGAAAGAATGAATAATCTTACAGTACTCACAAAAATCAACACAAAATGTATTAAAGACTTGAACAGAAGGCCTGAACCCATAAAACTCCTAGAACTAAACATAAGGGTTAGCTCCTCGACACTGACCTTGACCATGATTTTTTTTTTTAAATCATTTTTTTTTATTTGAAACCAAAAGCAAAGGCAAAAAGGAAAAACAAACAAGTGGGACTACATTAAACTGAAAAGCTTCTGCACAGCAAAGGAAACTATCAACAAAATGAAAAGGCGACTTATGGAACGGGAGAAAATGCTTGCAGATCATACATGTGATAAAGGATTAGTATCCGAAATATGTAAGGAACTTAAGCAGTTCAACAGCAAAAGACAAAGCAATCTGATTTAAAAACAGGCATAGGCACCTGGGTGGCTCAGTCAGTTAAGAGTCTGACTCTTGATTTAGGCCCAGGTGACGATCTCGCAGTTTCGTTAGTTTGAGCCCAGCCATTTCTTTTTTGTGTCAGAGCAGAGCCTGCTTGGGATTCTTGGTCTTCTTCTCTCTGCCCCTCTCCCACTCTATCAAAAATAAACATTTAAACAAAAAAACAAAAACCCAGGCAAAGGAACTTCTTCCAAAGACATACACATGGCCAACAGGTACATGAAAAGGTGCTCAACATCACTAATCATCAGGGAAATGCAAATCAAAACCCTGAGACACCACCACACACCTGTCAGCTTGCTGTCATCAAAAAGACAAGAGGTAACAACTGCAGTCGAGGATGTGGAGAAAAGGGAATCTTCACGCACTATTGGTGGGAATGTAAACTAGTGCAACTGGGAAAACAGCCAGGAGGTTACTCAATTTAAAACAGAACTACCATATGATCATTTTTACATGTCTGGATATACATTCAAAGGAAAGGAAACTACTATGTAGATGAGCTTTCCATTGCAGATAAGCCCATATCCATTGCAGAATTATTTACAATAGCCAAGACATGGAAATACCTTAAGTGGCCACTGACAGATGAATCAAGAAAATGTGGTATACACATACAATGGAACATTATTCAGCCATGAAAAGAATGAAATTTTGCAACTGGGACAACATGGTTGGACCTTGGGAACATTATGCTAAGTGAAATAAGTCAGATAGAAAAAGGCAAATATTGTATGATCTAACATGTGGAATCTTAACAAACAAACAAAACACAACCAAAAGCCAAAAGCAAACTCAGAGAAACAAAAAACAGACTAGTCAAAAGGTAAAACTCAGAGTTACAAGGTACGTAAGTTCCGGGGATGTAACATAAGCATGGTGAAAAAGATCATGAATGGCATATAATCTTCAGTAAAGGATAAGACAAAATCATCCTTCCTACATTTTAAAGACATTCATCAGATTTGTCTCTTATGAAATCAGGATCTGTTTTTCTTTTTTACGGAGCTATTTGTTTTACCCAAACACGTGGTTTGAAAAGAAATCTATGTATTTTTGGAAGGAAAACTTAACTACCAAGTACAATTGGGAAAAAGTCTTAAAAACAACGTAAATGTGAGAGACACTGGTCCAAACAGTTGAAAAAATGTCATTTCGATTTCAAGTTTACAACTTAAGAAAGTTACCTACAAGTATATCGTATTTCAGAGTGGCTGAGCCCTGCAGGATGAGGAAAATTTGTCCAAAAGAACTAAACACCTGAGAAACACTTTCATATAAAGACATCTTCGGTAACCAAGCAAGTGACAGGATCCGAGGCTGGTTGAGTACTGAGGCCCTTCTCTCTCCAGCCCAGCAGTAGCCTGGTAAAATCCTAAACTCCCCTCTCTACAGCCTTCACTCTATACCAGTCCCTCAAGCTTCAGGTCCTTGGATCTGCGAAGGCTACGGTGCTACAGGTAAGGCGGACAGAAAAGAATGCGTGGTTTTCTCGATTCTTCACTCACCCTGAAATCACGATCTAGGCTGCGCGGCCCCCACCCCACTGTACAGAATAGATTCTGAGAGCAAAGAAAACTAAAACTTTCTTTTTTTTCTTACAGAGGGCACTACCCTGGCAACGTTTGCAAACCCCTAAGGAGAAGGGTTCTTCCCACCTCTTCGGATCTGGACCGAGTCCTTCCGACCCAGTAGCACGAGCTTCGTGAAGCCGGGACCGCTCCCCTCAACTCCTCCCCCGCCGCTGACCCGCAGCCCGACCTCACCTGGGAGCAGTTCCACCAGGAGATGGCTTAGGGAAATCTCAGGGTAAGCGGCCCAGCGAGTGACGCCACCGAAGGCACAGTCATGGTCTACCTAATTCTGATCACCAGCGCAGACGCGCCTCAGCCACTGCGCCTCCCGCCTCCGGGTCGCTCCCCCACCACCCCACCACCGTCGCAGCCTCCCGCGTTGCACGCCGGGAACGGCCTACCTCCACTTCTCAGAGACTTCATTTCCCGGCATCCACAAGCTTGCAGGCAGAACTGCACGCTGGGATTTGGAGTCCTCATCCCTCGCTTCTCCCAGTCTTTAACAGAGAGTCCAGGGGAATCTTGCAGGAGAATCTAACCGCAAAGCATCACCCAAGGTCGTGAAATGTAGGCTCCTCTCGCATCCGGGGCCTTGCTCCTTCTTTAGCTGGGTGGGGAATGGTGTCGCCTAGCAGCAGCTGCCGCTCTTGCTTGCACTGGACCAGTGGGCTGGATCCAGAGTCCGGGTGAAACCGCGCTGGGGAGCGGTCGGGCGTGGCGGCGGGACCAAGCTTGGTCCGTGCGGCCGATGAAGGGACGCTGCTGGTTGCCCGGCTTCGTTAGGTGGGTGGATTTTGGTGAGCGGGAGCAGCAGTTTCTTTACAAGCAGGTTCTTTAAGCCTCAGGCAGGGCCCGTATGTAACAGCCTAGCTTCCCCGATCCCTAGTCTTTGGTCGGCAACCCATTTGCCTTCTAGCTTCAGCCCTGGTTTCTCGGCCTAGCTGTCTTCATTTCAGCCGTTTCCCCACCCTTTTTACCCCCAGTTCCTGCTTCTCCGAATCAAGATCCACTTTCAGCCTTCCAAGCACCCTCGCGCTTGGCGCCATTAGATGTTCGCGCGCCTTTGGTAGTAAGAGGGGCGCGGGTAGAGGAGGGGATTCAGGATCTTTTTTCTAATCTAGACAAATTTTAGGAAGGAAACTGTCGTAGTTTATTCAGCCGGTGCATCATCTGTTGGTTTGTGCCAGCTGTAATTTTGATCAAGACTATTTCGTCCACTCGTCTGTCGTACAATTAAGGAGCCATCGCTCTTTGCTAACATCTTAGAGTTATAATTATGTTATCTACAAAAATAGTAATGTTTACCTTGAAGATGCTAATGCCACCTGTTTTATTACAGAAGGTAAACCGCAGTGAAAGATTTCACGATGCCACCTAATATAAACTGGAAAGAAATAATAAAAGTTGACCCAGATGACCTGCCTCGTCAAGAAGAATTGGCGGATAATTTATTGGTTTCCTTATCCAAGGTGCTTAATTGATAAACAATGCATATGTGTGATCATACAGACTATGATTAATCTTAGTTGCCCATGAAATCAATGAATATTACAAATGGAAGAGTTCTCATATTTTGTCTAAGGGTTATAAAATGTAAAATAGTTGCTTTTCTCTTTACTCAGGTGGAAGTAAGTGAGCTAAAACATGAAAGTCAAGAAAATGTGATACACCTTTTCAGAATTACTCAATCACTAATGAAGGTTTGTATGCAGGTTTTTAACAATGGATTTGACTATTAGAGGACGTTTAAGGAACTGTTCTTAAATAAGTTAGTCTTTATGTGAAAGTACCCAAATCACTGGAAAATGAGATCTCTTCAAATGTGGGTTGAGGATTTTAGTGTGCAAAGCATTGCTAATTTCTGCTCTAAAGTTCCTAAAAGAATGTATAAAGGAAACGGAATGGGGGTGTTTAAGAAAACATATGGAGGTCCTTTGTTAATTATGTTAACAATTCTGAAGTAAGAATTAAAAATATGAATGACTTCTATGGGGATTTGTAAGGAGGGGATTTGTTAGGATATTTAGGTGTGAGAAGGCCTCATAAAGGGCAAAGACCGATGAGTATACTACAGATAGAAATCACCCTAAATAAAAACTGGGACTAGTAAATGTGCTTATTCTTTACATTTGAGGAGAGAAGTGCAGATAGTTAATAGTAGGTTGTAGAGGAAATAAGTGTTAGGTATAGTCTGCAGTAGACTGTTGTCAAAGGTATTAAAGGTGTATTTTATGCTATCAGCAATAAGGAGCTGTTAGTTTTTGAGCCACGATTCAAAGTATGCCTTAGGAAGGCTAAACTACATATGTTAGAAGGACAAAATGAAAGGAGTTGAAGCTATTTAGACAGAACATAGTGAAGAAGGGTAAACATAAGATTATGGACTAGAATAATGACAACTGGAATAGAAAAAGAAAACATTACAAAAAATTATAATGTTAGAAAAGTTACTTTACTACATATGAGATTGATGGGAAAAAGAGGAATCAAAGGTATTTTGAAGTTGTTATAGTCTTAAATAAGAAAATCATCTGTTTATTCAACAAGCATTTACTGAAAATCTCCCTATCTCAGGCACTGAAGGCAATAAATACTGGAAAAGCAAATGAAACAAAGTCCTTGTTTTCAGTGCTTTTGTAAAGGCATATTAAAATAACCTTTCTTTTTAAATGTTTAGATGAAAGCTCAAGAAGTAGAGCTAGCTTTGGAGGAAGTTGAAAAAGCTGGAGAAGAACAAGCAAAATTTGGTAATGCCCTGGCAAAAGTTTATCATAGTGTCAAATGGGGATTGCATTTAACATATTCTATAAAATGTGTCTATTCCCAATTTATTTTGAAAGATATTTCTAGACCTCCTGTTTCATGGATGAGGTGTAAAAGTTACTTTCTCTTATGTTACCTTATTACAATCATGATGGAGTCTTTAAAAATGATTTTATTACTTTATTGAAATTTATTTAAAAGTTTGTTTTGAGATAAATCTGACCAATTGAAACTTTTTTTTAATAGAAAATCAATTAAAAACTAAAGTAATGAAGCTGGAAAATGAACTGGAGGTATGTCCTTTTGTATTCCCTAGGGTGTAATTATTAATTTTATTACTTTGAATTACTTTTAAAATTTTCTATTATTGGCTGGTAAATCACAAGAATGATATTGTGTTCGTAATTGTTCAACATATATTTTATATGTTTATTACATACCTTAAATTCTAAGAATTGAGCATCCAGTTGTTAACAAAATAAAAACCTTCAATAGCCTGAAGCTTACAGACTAGAGAGATATACAAGGGTTACTAGTAACTGAGCTGGAGTAGAGGCATATGGGAATTTGAGGAATAGTGCAGAAAGATATGGTAGAAGAAGTAGCTTTTGAGAAAACTAAGAGCCAAAATATGAATGTAGTGTTAAGGAACCAAATACATTGAGATTCCTGAGACTGTGGGAAGGAAAGTGCTACAAAAACTAGCCCTTAAAAGGGAAGAAAGACCTTCTTCCTTTTTAATATGAAGAACGGATGTGTACAGAAGCTTCTACGTTTGTAGATTTAGTACCTGGAAGTTGAGAGGTTGGAGGGATTGCTAAAAATAAGAGTGGAAGATGTGCTAAAAATAAGAGGGAAAGATATGTGGTCAAATTTTAAAGAAGATTAAGCTTCAGATATTGTGGAGAATGAGGTGGAGATTAGGAGATAGGGAATCAGATCATTTTGAGTTCAAATCCTGATTCTTCTACTTATTAACTCTGTGACCTGGGAGGAGTTATTTTTTACTCCCTACTATATATCCATCGCCTAAGTCTCAACCACTCTCATTTAATACTTAATGAATTCTGATGTTGGATTCATTCTGTTAGTGCTTAGCGAGGCTGCTGCTGTGGAATGGAAGGGTAGGACTGTGGGAGATACTAGTAAGAAAGTGGTTGAAGTGATGATTATGAAATCTCAGCTGATGGGTAAAGAAATCAAGATTTCATTGGTGGGAGAGGTTAGAGAGGAGTCCAGGGATTAGAGGGTCCTATGAAGTCAGGGCAGTTATACTAGGAATCATGAGAGAATGTTTCTGCTGGGACAAGGTTCTGGTGTGGGCATGAGAGTGGGGGGCTATAGTGAATTCAAGAAGCATGTTAAAAAAAAAAAAAAGAGAGAGAGAAGAGACCAGAATATGAAAGTTATATGGATGTAGAAACTGCTTAGTGGGACTTTTTGTGGAAGACTAGGAGCCATGTGCCAATGAATTTTGAGAGGGAGCAGTTGGGAAGTTAGTAATTTGCTGCTACCATGAGTGGGTAGGATTGGATAACTGGATATCATGTGGATTCAAAGCAGCTAGAGTTTTCACAGATGGTGGATGAATGATAGCCTGGAAGTTGCAGGTTGGGATAAATCAACACCATGTCTTGACCCTAAGGTCTATGGAATGTGAAAGAATGAGCATCTCCCAATTAAAAGAGTTCCAAAAGAATTAATATACCAAAGGAACCAAATTGGAGCTAAGGTGGGGAGATAGAGCACATTATTCAGTAAGAGGGCTGGGGGGAGGGTAAAATATTAATTTATTTTGACAGAAGATTTTTGAGAGCACAATGGAAGGTTTTCTGAAGGAGGAAAAAAGTGAGAAAAATATTTATTCTAGAGGAGTAATACAACTGTATTGTAAAGAGATGAATGTGAGACAGGTAGATGACCAAAGGATGTTTCAGACCATGAGTCCAAATAACAGGAACATGAAGTTAAATGAATTTACTCTGCCACAGATTTTTTTTTCTTAAGTAAACTCTACCCCTAACATGGGGCTCAAACTCATGACCATGAGATAGAGTTGAATGTTCTACTTACAAAGCCAGCCAGGTGCCCAATCAGGCAGAAGATTTTGTTTTATTTGTTTATTTTTGAGAGAGAGAGACAGCATGAGCAGGGGAGGGTCAGAGAGAGAGGGAAATACAGAATCTGAAGACAGGTTCCGGGCTCTGAACTGTCAGCACAGAGCCCAATGCGGGGCTCGAACCCACGAACCATGAGATCATGACCTGAGCCACAGTTGGATGCTTAACCGACTGAGCCACCCAGGCGCCCCTCAGGCATAAGATTTTATTTTATTTATTTATTTATTTTTTTTTTACAAATAGTTTATTGTCAAATTAGTTTCTACATAACACTCAGTGCTCATCCCCAAAGTGCCCTCCTTCATGCCCATCCCCCCCTCCCCCCCACATCCATCCGTCCTCAGTTTTTGTCAGCATTCAAGAGTCTCTCATGGTTTGCCTCTCTCCCTTTCCCCCACCATTTCCGCCCTTCTTCTCCCCCTTGGTCCTCCGTCAAGTTCCTCCTAATCCTCCTATACGTGCAAACAT